GGAAAGTCACAATCATACAATGCTACACTATGCACCTAAAAATAATGTAGATCAGGAAGAGAAGAAGGAGGAATTCTACAGACAGTTGAAATCAACACTGGACAAGACCTCAGTTGGCCATATCAAATTCATTCTAACAAGCGACATGAATGCAAACTGGGAGCAGACAACACAGGAAGAGAACTGACCATGGGCCGAGAAGCGCTCGGTGGGATGATGAAGGAGAATGGAGAATTGTCTGCAGAATCCTGTGCATTCAACGATTTGTTGATTGGAGGCGATGCAGTGTGTTCAAGCACAAGGATATCCACAAGTCAGTGACATGGATTTCACCAGACACCAAGACACACTAGAAATCAGATCGACTTCATCTCAGTGTGAATAAAGTGGAGAGGGAGATGCAGCCTACTTGACACAAGGTCAAGAAGAGGAGCAGATGTAGGCCCAGACCACTCACTGTCTATTGCAAGGAACCCTCCAAATGAAGTTGAAATCCTTCAAGGAGGTTGGTGGTGGACCACAGTTCAAGTTCAACACCCAGAACAAAAACTGAACTGAAGGAGGAAACTACAAAGGAAATCTTCACATCAGTCAGCCATCGAGACGAAATGGGAGATATCTAGGAACATCCTTGAAGAAATCTGTGTGGATGAACACTGTAACTCATTGAAGGCTTTGTGGAAAGAAACCTAAACAACCATATTAGGAAGGAAGAATAAAGAAGACAGGGAATGGATCTCGATGGATATATGGAGGCTGATAGGGAAGGGAGAGGAGGATGGTGAAGAAGAAGATAAGCCAGTGCAAGGATGGACGACGACAAAAGGAACTGAGTACAATGTATAAAACACTACAGGGGACAAAGAAGTGAAGAAGAGTGCACGCGAAGACAAGAGATACTTCTATGACACATTGACAAGTGGAGCAGAACAGGCTGCATGTAGGAGAGACAGAGACCTGACAACATTAATACATCAAATAACCAGGTTACTATCTGGGATGGGAGAGATCAGCAGGGGTGAAATAAATAAGTCAAGTCAGTGTTTCTGTATGATTCAGAGACTTGGCGTGTCACGAAAAACATTTCCAACAAACTACAGATATTCATCAACAACTGCCTACACTGGCTCGCCACTGAAGATCAGATGGCCAGAATAATGAGAATGAGCAACAAGGAACTCAGTGTGTCTGGCAACGAACCAACGAAGAAGCTACCATGCAACAAATATGTAGAAGAAGGAAGTGGTGATAGATTGGATTGGGCATAGATACAGTGAGAAGGTCGGCTGGGGACATCACGCGTCAGGCCAGTCGCTGGAGTGGAACCCAGATGGGAAGTGACGAGTTGGGTTTCCGAGTTGAGGGTGACATGGAGGATATGGTGGGAGGAGGAAATGAGAGGTTGTGGGCAGTCGTGGAGCCATGTTGAAAAGATTTCGTAGAACAGAGTGAAATGGAGATGTGCTACTGGAGCCCTATGTTCCATTGGGAACCCAAGGGACTAATCATAATCATAATAATAATAATAAATTTTTACTTTGGAGATTTGTAAAGATTAATTGGTTTCAAGTTAGCATTCATCACTGACTTACATTACTTGGAGAATCAATTAAGGCCTGGTAGTAGTGAACAACCGTTTCGCCGTAATATGGGACTCCCTTACAATGTGCACTTTTGTCACTCCCTCAGGGTTCGAACCGAGCTTCGACAAATCTCCTACCTAGCACCTTATCATTGAACCACTAGGTTGAAATCTGATAGTTTGCAGTTTGATAGATGTTAGCTAGTTGGAGGCAATCGTGGCTTCCTGTCCATCGCCTGCAACCAACTAGCATCTATCAGTGTGCACCACGTTGATGAGCATCCTAACTTGGTGGGCATATTGCTGGAAAATGTCGACGGAATTCTGTTTGCATTCTTGACTAGACAATAAGAAATTGGTTGCTCTCCAGTGACCAATCAATGTGGTTTCCATTTTCCTACTACTATCTGTTTGCAATATAGCGTTACTGACATCGAATATTATCGGTGAATCTTTGAACTTAAATGCACAGTCGTTAAATTTATAGATAGAAGGGTAACATTACAATGAAATTCCTTGTGACTGTTGATGATGGACTGTTTCGTGTCAAAGCTGAAAAACATTCACACTAGTCAAGCCATTGAGTGATAGGATGTCTGCAGAAAACAAATGAACGATACGTTTGCCATTTTTGATGGTGATGTTAATTTAGATGAAGCTTTACATTCACTCAAAACTGTCAATCAACATTGTCACCCGCCTTAGCGAAGAAAGCGAATCAGGCATTTCTTTTCCTAATGCATATCACATGAGAAACAGCAGCGGATCGCTTCATCACTTAAAAACCGTGTGTGTCTTTCGCTTACCTACTTGTATGTAGCAAGGTAAATCCATAATAACTAGAGTTTGTTACTATCACACTGACCGTAGATAACTGTAAGATCATTTTGATAATGATGAATGGAAGGCTGTTAGAAGTTCTGTTAACAAATATTTGGTTGGCTTTGGCTACTAACAGTAATTCAACTATATCTTATGCTTCGTTTACCAAGTTGTTTCGTTAAATCCTCATTATCTTCATTTCCAGCTTTTCAAAACAACAGAAACCTAGGAAATTCACAAATGTTGGTTGAATGGAGACATTCGACAGGAAGCCCTGCTCGATCTAGGTTTCGTGCTTGTTGGTACTGGTCAGCAAGGCGTACCTGCAACCCCGATGGAACTGATGTCCCGTCACCCACTGCTGTAGTCAGTTACGTTACCATTGAGCTATTCGGGCCGCACTTAGGACTAGAAAATATGAAGTTGGTTACCTTCCAGTGACTAATCAATGTATCTAGTCCAGTCCTAGAGGAGGTCAATCGCAGTCTGAACAGCTTAGTGGTAGCGTCGCTGCCCGCAACAGTGGGTGACGGGGTTGCAGACCAGTACCAACAAGCACGAAACCCAGGCCCTGGGCTTCCTGCCGATTGCCTCCGCGCAACTTACATCTACCAAAGTGTATCACAACGCTGAACTGCTTACTGTGATGGCCACATCACAGATGGGAACCTTAATCTTGTGCATAAATGAAGTAAATGCAGCGTTTCTTTAACTCTAGCCATAATTCCTGTTTTCTTCTTAGACATCCTCGTTTGTCAGATAATTCTCTATACTGTTTGTCAGTCACTGGCAATACTATGAGACCTAAGTTGGATAGTTTTCGACATTAATTTGCTTTTGGAGGTTTGGCTTAGTGAATATATAACTTACTGGTTTTAGCTCTCGACTTTAAAGGAACATACTCAGAGCTTAAATCCTGCACCACCTATTTTAAAACATGTAGCATAGTAGTATCTGAAACTTTATGAACTAAGTGTGAACCATAGCTAAAATAAAATCCATGTGACAGGTTGATTTGGATTATGTTCGGATAGAGTATCTCTTAGAGCCTATTACATATTTCAGTCAATTTCATTAACAGACCCATTTATGTTATCGGTTAGATTGTCTGAGATGGTTATCGTTTGAAAAGCACAGTGACAACTGAAGGTCAAATGAAAACTTGCTTAGTGGTAGACTATGAACCACTAACTTCCGGATTACTGATTCAGGGCTATGCTGAATCAGCTATGAGTCCCAGCTGCCATCTTTCCCAACCCTCTGCTGGTCACATACATCCTGTGAACGATTCAAATGTTATTCAACCACTTTTGTTATTATTTAGAATTTACATCTGTGCAAAATGTCATTTTCGACCGTATAAGCTGTATATAGTTTATAGGTTGATCACCTCATTTGAGGTATACTGGTCCATCGGAGTCAACTAGCCGGATTCAGATGATCTGAAAACTTTGGCTTTGCCGGCTGAATGGTGTTTCAAACACTCTGAACTGGCTAGAAAGATTTACAGATCAGCGTGAGTGGTACCTAACTAATTCTGTTTCATACTGCCTACTAATACAGTAGTCATAAGTAGTTTTTTTAACTGTTTTTATCGTTAGCATTTATTACTGAAAAATCTACCTACATTATAGGATTCGAAAGGTATGCATACATGAATTTACAACTTGGTGACAAACCAGTTATTCATGTAGGTTTCTAAACTAAATTTTTTTTCGATAACAAAATTATAACTATTGAATGATCGAATTTCATGATGAGATACACTTAGAAACGTTAATACAGATAAGGGGATTGAGATATATTGTGAAATGGAGTAGCTAAATGTCAGTGTAGTTGACAACTACCGAATGAATCGCACCGTTTCATCCAAACACTTAAATCTTCACTCGTAAATTAAAATATGCCTACGGATAGATTTCTGTTAACACCCAGGAGTACTGTCAACTATCACTTTCATCTAGGTTAAGCTAATATAGTCTTACAGATTCTGATAAGTCAACAATCATGACATTTAAGTCGAGCAAGACTTGTTACGTACAGGTCTACATGTAGAATATAATACCACGGCAGCATACTACAGTTTCGTGTATTTTAGCTAATCGGTCACACAAAAAATTGGATCGAAAGATTTTGATCAGCGCTAAAAAGCTTGACAATCACATAGTTTTCTGTGCAGCAACTAATTAACGCAAAAGAAAAGACCACATTCTTCATATTCCTATCATTATTATCAAAATATTACAACTTAAAGAGATAGCATTGTATACAATTTAAAATACAACTCAAAGCTTAATCACAAGGTTTAGGCTTCACACGTAAGTAACAAAATCAGTATACACTGCATCCTATTTATAAATTTGAGCATACTGAAGACAACACTTTAGCGAACAAACGAGTGAGGCACGTGTAAGTGAGTTTATGTTGTTGTCGTTACATATTACAATAAAATGTTCATTCAGGAAAATAAATGAAATACATAAAACATCTATTCAACTTTAAGTATAAACAACAATCACATTTGCCTTCAATTCATGTTGAACTGCTGAATTATGTTGATCACAGATGCATCTCACAGTCGAAATAATAATTAGGTTCATGTAGAAAGCGATAAGCGAAGAAACTGCATTATGAAATAGAAAAAAACAAACGGGAATGTAGTAACGATCAAGCATCACTGAGATTGACTATAAAGTTAAGAATTACTTGACTACTGTGGTCTATAAGCTGGATTCAAGTATCAGTTGAGATACTATCACCTACTAGGTTGTGGGTGCATACAGCTGACAAGTTCCGAACAGGACGAAACTGATAGCCACCATCAGTATTCTGGAATATTTTCATACTTAACTATTGGTTTTTTATGATTTAGTTTGTAAACAGATGAAGAGAAACTAATGGAAGAAGATGATGACATTTTATTTTACTCAAATTATTGTTCTCGGTTTCTTCAAATAAGGTGAAGTAAACTGGAAAAGATAATGTCATCAGATGGAAGATTTGGTTTCAAAGTATTCTGTCAACACTGATAAAAAGCCAGTCAGAGTAGATTATGAATCCACTCTAAGATTATGTCAAGTAAGTAAGAACAATATTTAACTACCAAAATGTGAGGAAAACGACCACATGATGACACAGTGTCATAAAACATCAAACGATGAACGATTGAACCTTTTCTTTTCAGCTCTTTCCAGTTTCATTTAGTAGAAAGGAAGTTCACTGGATTGGATAGTATGTTAGTAGTAGTTCAGAACCAGGTTACATACAATTTTTTAAGGCTCATAGGAAGGAAGTTAATAACAACATAAGCACCTAACAGCCAATAGAAAGAAGTCAGTCAATACTCACAGTACCAGTAAATACAAGTATATGAAAACTAACATAGAATATTTTGCGGGGTAACCACGTAGAAAACCATACTTTAACGGCTAGCTATTACACCTGGAATCAACCTAGGCGTCTGTAAAGGTAAGCCAGACGTGGTGAGAATCTCATCATGGTTTCTTATAAAAACTAAAATATTCAGATGACGTAATGTGATCTACTGGACACCAACAATTGGTGTTGAAACTGTCAGTGTGAAGCTGCATGTAATATTACTAACTGACATGAGTATTTGTAGGTCACGCATACGCATCAGTAATACTCGGTAGCCATACCATTGGTAATCTAAACAGCGGACGGTCGTTTCCCTCATTTGGGACCAAGCTGATCAGTGATATGTTTGAGTTTGTTGAGCTTACAAGGGCGAGCTGCTCAATCACTCGAACTGCAGCCAGCCACTTGAAAACATTAGTCATGTCTAGAATTAAATAAGATGTCTGCAAAAACTCGTTAATAAGCTCAACCCCAAACGGGAGCGAAGCGGTCACTCGGTGTTTAGAACGCCTTAATCTGACTAGAGATCGCTGGTGACATGTGTGAGTTGCTTAGAGGTACTCATCTCAGCCAGTAGTATAATACTGTCAGTGTAAACCTTTGCTTAGCAAAAAGGCAAACATTATTGTGGATTTAGCAGGCTTCTACCTAACTCACTTCAACCTATGTCTTTTAGAAAAATTGAAAAGTAGTGTTCTTTAAGCTGTGAAAGCCCATGCAGCTTTGGTTTTCATGCTGTACTGTTGTAAAACACAGTAAATCTTTTAAATGAAAAATCTATCAGTCAGTTATTCATAAGCTACACTGGTATTTCTTTCAATTAGGCCATTTTTCGATCATCAAACTGTAATTTTCCTCAGCACAATAAATCAGGATCTCAGACTTTGATCTCGCATGTAAAAGAATTGGAAACTAACAATTAGTAGGGGGTTGAGGGATACAACCTATGATACTGACTTACTGATTTTCAGTGGAAATTACTTTAAACATTAGAGATTGGCAGCTGAGAAGTTTACGTGTATGAACCATGTGGCTTGTAAATAATATCCAAACACCTCCTAGATTTTAGGAATGGTATCATCTCTATCGAGTTATTTACAACGTTCACACTGTCCATCTATTATTTGTAATGTCAATTCATTTTGATGAGAAAGTTGAATTCAAGCCAAATGGAGTATACAACTCTGAGTCAAATATTTCTGAAGTTATCGAAATAATCCAAATAGCTGCCCGTTAGTGTAACCAGCAGTAGGATTTGGCTAATGAGATCCTTGGGTCAGGCCAAGATGTAACTGACTACCTGTATTGTTCATCTATGGATCTTAATAATACATGAAATTTACAGCTGGTTTTTCACCGGAAAATTGTTTGAAGGTGTGATTGATAAAAATCTAGAAAACTAAGTAGAAATTTCGTCTTCTCTCCTTTGCTCTGTTCAGAAGGGTTTATTCCAGTATTTAAATGAAATTTCTGAGAATCCCTTATTTCTTTTTCACAAGCGTGTGCAAATATTTAATGTTTCACTTCATAATTCAGTCATAAATATCAGAAGAATAAAGTAAATATATCTGTCACCTAAGACATCAAGTTCAACATAAATTCGGATAAAGAAGCATTCTACTTTTAGGCAAAATGCAACCATAAGTCATCTACACCTAGTAGAAAAAGGAATGTAAGAATAAGGTGTTAATGACTAATAAATAGACTTCAGGAACCTTAGCTAACTGGTGGTAGGTAACCGAATAATAGAGTTTATCAAAATATGTAGATTCACGTTTTTTGATAATTGACGTACGTGATGTAGATCATATTCAGTACCTACAGGTAGCCATTTCTCACATGACGACATTTAATTATGATCCATGGAATATTTCTACAGACACGGGTTGAAACTTTACTCCGCCTATCGAGTTTCTGGAAAACAGGTAGAATCAAAAGTCTTAACGCAATGGTTTTGAGTCACTGTCACTAAGAGCAGTTCCATTTCGTTTTCTTGCAGTCTAGGTCATTGCGACCACTAGACACAGATATATACCTGGTCAGAAATCCTCTTTAAGCTTCTTTTTAAGGTGTCATTCATCACAGACTCATATCACTAGGAGAACACCATGGAACCTGGGTGCCCTGCCCAGCTATATTGTCGTAGAATAGGACTAATCGGGAGTGCGCAGCCATGACTCCACATGGAGCAGAACTAAGCGCCTTCAGGTTTCGCTGTGAACACCTTACCATTTAGTCACTAGGTTGGAATCCAATGGTTCACATTTTACTACTTCTGTCAATTTTCGATGTACCGCCATCTCCATCCAGTACCATCGTTGGATACTCGACTTCATATCCAACATTTTTGCCCCACCGGTAACGACTTTTCATTAGGACTAGGCAGTGATTCAGTTTTCCTTGCAAAGTATTTTAAACGGATTCACTTACTGGTGATAACTAATTAATGAAGTTAAGTAAGCTGATTATAAAGGAATTCTAAGTATAAACTGTAGCTTTGAAGATACGATTACTAAACATCTTAACTGAGTGGTGTAGTTTCTGACTCTAACACAAAGTGACTCACATTTCAGTCAACCAGAAAACTCCACTGCCATTCTGGTTTCAGAATTCCCCCTCTGATAGGTGCCAACAACTGTAGAACCTTGGAGGAGCAAGGTTTCCTGCCGACTGACTCACAAAATCTAACTCCAGCATACAGTGCAATGCAGTATCAGATCAATAAGCTTAGTAACCACATTTCAAAACATCATCGACATACTTCGATTACTGCCAAGCGCAAAAGACTAGTTAGCTAGATAAGTTACACACTTGAGATCAACTTGTGTAGATATATTTACTACTGTTATAGCCAAATTTCCGTTAAAGTATTCACAAAGTGAGCACAACGCATTTCGATAATAATAAACCCTCTGAATATATCTGCTTTGTAGCAGAGAATATCACTGAAACATTGATCATGATTGACTTACATCTTCTGGAGTAAATATCAGTTGACCTTTTGAATTAGTTGGATGAACAGTAATGTTATCGTAGGCACTTTTCATATTTGCCAAGCAGTAAAGAAAATCTTCAAAATGTATACAACTGTTTTTCGAGTCAATATATCTATGTGATAATACATGATAAACACGATTGCTGACATGGTAACCTTTATAATAAAATAATAGTAAAACAATTTGAAGTTATATGATTATTAAATTATTATCAATTTACGGCTGCATTTTTACTAGATATTTAAGACAGTTGATCAATAAACAAGAACTGATACCATATGAAGTCGATACCTAATATACATAAAGACTTTTGAACAATAACTTCCAGATTTCTCCTTTGAGGGTCTCTCAGTATTTCAGAAAAAAAACGAATTAACGAGACAACTGAAAGTCTCTTCCAGAGTCAAAATAGGTGCATAATGCAACACTAAATTTAATGGTCTAGAAGGGATTGTGGGAAGGGTTCTCTATAGATACAGCGCTTTTAGGTAATAAGTTATCCAAAAGTATAATCATATAGATTTTCACAGAAATTTGACGTACGATGATTGATTGTATGTCTTACAGGGGATTTCGGGTCTCACTGAATAAGCTACATTTTACTACTGCATATCACAACAGAATCATATCTAAGGCACCACTTAAATCAGATAGAAAATATTGGGTCGTATATATAGGTCGTGCATAAATTAACTTCTAATTAATCTTACCGAACTTATTTATATCTAGAGGATGACTGCTGGCTAAAGATAATATATCCTGAGTATAGGCCTATCAAACCTCGCCTGGTTAACTAGTTCACTAGTTACTAGACGGTCCCAAGCCCGGGTAAAGAAGGATGGTTGGGCATACGCCTAAAAACCCTACACCGGAAAACAAATCTAACCGCTAAACAAACTTCAAAGTACAAACAAAATATAAAAAATAATAACAAAATTATTCCTCGATGGAATCGGAGAGGCGAAATGACGCCGGTTGGTGAAAGCCTTCGGGAAACCAACTAACACATGTGCCTCCTCTTCTCTCGATCAAAGATGAAGTAGGCATGGGGAGATGGAATGTCAGCATGATATTTGAAGCTGGCTGGCTGGCTGGCTGGCTGGCTGGCTGGCTGGCTGGCTGGCTGGCTGGCAAGGCAGCCCAGATTGCAAACGAGATAAGAAGGTATCACATTGGAGTGCTTGGAATTTGTGAAAGTAGATGGAATGGGAGTGGACTCTCGAAACTGTCAACTGGAGAATCAATAATCTACGACAACCACGGGCGCACTAATTTCTCGAATGGCTATCATGATGTCCACAAGAGAATCGGAGGCTCTCTCTCTCCCTCATGTAGCCGGAACCAATCTCCTCCTGCAGGGTCAGGTTCATGATAGCAAGATTAAACTTGAAAGGAGGGAAGATCACAATCATACAATGCTACACTACGCACCTACAAATAATGTAGATGAAGAGAAGAAGGAGTTCTACAGACAGTAGCAATCAACACTGGACATGACCCCATGCCAGTTGGCGAATTCAAAATTAATTATAATGGGTGGGGTGAGGTAAATGTCAAACTGGTAGCAGACAACACAGGAAGACAGCTGATCGTGGGCTGAGAGGCACTCAGTGAAATGATGAATGAGAATGGAGAACTGTTTGCAGACTTCTGCGCACTCAACCATTTGGTGATTGGAGGTGGTGTGTACAAATACAAGGATATTCACAAGATAGCGACATGGATTTGATTTCACCAGACACCAGGACACACAAAAAATCAGATCAACTTCATCTCAATGTGGAGAAATTGGAGATGGAGACGCAGTCTACTTGACACAAGATGAGGAAGAGGAGCAGTTGTAGGTTCACAATACTCAAACCTCCATCTAGTGCAAGGAAGCTACCCGCAAAATCAAGTTAAAAGCCTTCACAGAAGTTGATGATGATAGACCACAGTTGAAGTTGAACACCCAGAACAAAACTGAACTGAAGGACGAAACTACAAACTACAACTACATTTTCACATCAGTCAGTGATCAGGACAAGATGGGAGACATTGAGCAACATCCCTGAAGAAACCTGCATGGGAGAACACTGGAACTCTTTGAAAGCTATGTGGAAAGAAACCTGCATAATCGTGTTAGGAAGAAAGAATGAACAAGACAAGACAAGACAAGACTAGGAAGGCATCTCGATGGACACATGGAAGCTGGTAGAGGAGGGAGAGGAAGATGGTGATGGTGATGGTGAAGCAGAATATGAAAATTGCAGTGTAGGGATGAACAAGGAAAAGAGGAACTGAGTATAACGCATAAAACACTACACTGGACAAAGACGTGAATAAGAGTGAGCGCGAAGACAAAAGACACTCCTATGACACATTGACAAGTGAAGCAGAACAGGCTGCAGGTGTGAGGGGCAGGGACCTGACAACACTATATCAAATAACCAGGTTACTATCTGGGGGGAGGGGGAAGGAGATCAACTCATATGGAACCGATGAGAGATAGTGAAGGAAATTTAGTCAGCAAAGAGGAGAAACAAAGGAAACGATGGGCTGGCCACTGCAGAAAACTCTTGAATCAACCACCAACTGCAATGCGTCGAGAATTCCACCAGCGTCCCAGCCAAAGAACTACCAGTGAACACAAGCCCCCTGACAAAAGCCGAAGTGAAGTCCTAAGCTCCATGAAGTCGCCGAAACCTAGAAACGTAGCAGGACCAGATGGAATTTCTCCAGAAGCACTGAGAATAGGTGGAGAGACAACAGTGACATGCTCACACCAGACCACTACTGCAGAGGGTTTGAAAGGAAGGAAGGAGAGGTACTTGGTAGTTGATTCGAAGAAGGACTACCTGGTCAAACTTCCAAAGAAGGGCTACCTAAGTCTTTGCAAGAACAAGAACAGGCGCGAAATCATGCTGCTGTCCACCCAGAGCAGGCAAAATATTAAGCTGCATCATCCTGGATTCAAAATTACGACCGAAACCGGCTGGGTGGGTGACTGGATTCAGGAAGAACAAATCATGTGTGGATCAAATTGCCACGCTACGCTACGCGTCATCATAGAAGAGAACACAGAATTGCAGTCAACTCTCTACCTCACCTCAACTTCATTCACTTTGAAAAGGCCTTCGACAGAGTCAACCGAGGAGCTATTTGGCAGGCAGCTGCTTCTACACTACGGTTTCAGTGCCACAAATATTTATCAACCTCATTCAACAGCTATATGACAACGCCACATGTCAAGTGATTCACAATGGAAAGCTCAGTGACACCTTTGAAGTGAAGATATGCAGGAATAAGACAAGGCTGCCGCCCACTACCACCGATGATCTTCCTGACTGTCGTCCACTGGACTGAACTGGACTGGACTTGACTGGATTATGTACATACAACTGTGAGGAGCTGTGAGAAGATGGGTATACGCTGTTTGAGATGACAGATGAAAATACTCTGGCAGATTTGGATTTCGTCGACGATGATGATTTATGTCCAGTATCTTGTTGCACAAACTCGAAGATGTACAGGCAAAAACCAACAAGTTGACAGGGGAGGTGAAGTGAGGTGAGGTGAGGCAGCGGAGATTGGACCGACTTCAGGTGAACGTAGAGAGGACAGGGGTGATGAAGACATCCAACCAACCACAACAACGACAACAATAACAAGCACCAATCACCATGAATGGGAGAAACCTAATGGAAGTAGTCTCTTTCACCTACCCACCTACCTAGGCAAGGCAAGGCAAGGCAATGCAAGGCAGCATCGTTTCAACTAGAGGTGTTGGTGGTGGCACACATGTGGATGTGAAAGCAGCCGGGATCGGAAAGATAGCAAGACAGGCTTTCATTAATCTGAGATCAGTGTGGAGATCTACTGTACTGTACTGTACTGCACTCAGCGTAAAGCGTGAACAAGATTCGGATTTTCAACACAAATTCGGTCAAGTCAGTGCTTCCATGTGATGGTTGAGAAAGTTGGCATGTTATGGAAAGCATTTCCAACAAACTATATTCATTGATCAACGACCGGCTAGGCTGGATACTGAAGATCAGATGGATTGTCAGAAAGCATGAGCAACAAGGAACTCACTCTGGCTGTCTGGCGACGAACCAATGGAGAATTCATCTCCCAACGTGTATGCAGAAGAAGGATGTGGAGGAGGATTTGATTGTGCATAGACTGAGAAGGCGGATTGTGGACATGACGTGGCAGGCGTGGTCTTCGAGTGTAACCCAACTGGGAAACGACTATTTTGGTGTCTGAGGTGAGGATGACATGAAGGAGATGTTGTGAGGACGAGATGAGAGATTGTGGGCATTGGTGGGTGGTGGGTGTTGGGTGGTGGTTGAAGATACTGGAGAGAAGAGAGTGTAATGGAGGCGTGCTACTGAAGCCGTATGTTCTAGTCGGATCCCTCCGGACAAATAATAATCAAGCAGCTTATCATGTAGTTTTGGTTATGATGTGTTCTGAATTCTAAATTAACTGAAATATCTAAACAGCTAAGACGTAACTGCCAATGCCTTATTGAAAAAGAGAATCAACTTTGTTTGAAGATCTTTTGAATGAATTCAGTGTCACTGTCTCATTTGTATTTATAGAAATTATTCAGCGGCAATGTCCTCGGTTTAGGGATTGCACATAAATAGCATCTTTAATTGATAACTATGAGCTATCACAGGTCTTTTATTCCTACCAGATCCTTCACATTTCTACCATATCAAGTTCCATATTTTAGATTTTAGAGCATGACATTTTAGTTCCATTATGTTTTATTTTAAGATATGATTCGATGGATAACTGGTTCCATATTATCAACTGTTATGTTATCTTACCTTCTCTTGCTATTCCTGTGTTGCACCTTAGGAAAGAAGCCCGTGATACTCGTTGCTGTTTAAAAAGATGATGGTGATGATGTTGAGGCGAGAATCAACAAATGGATTAGAAGTGCGCTGCTCATCACAAACATATGTGTACGCATAGACCACTGATATGAATTCAGATGCAACTTAGGATTTTTAAAATCATGACCTCTTCTCACTAAGACGAATCTGTCCAGCTAAATCAAAGCTAAAATTCAGATAGTTTAATCAGCAATTACAAAATGACTAAGCTTACACAATTATCTTCAATAATTTTATTTTAGAACAAAATATTTAAAGTAATGAGTGAAGATCTTCTTACCTGTACTGTTCAACATTTCTCGGAAGCTGTAGGCTCTTACAATTCCTTTCCTTTCATGCTCATATTTTTGAAAAACATACTGTGCTTCGCAACAAAAATAAAACATAGTATTAATTAAGGAAGAGATAAAAACGCTTTTAAAAGATACACTAAAAGTGTTGTTGTTGGGCAAGGCACAAAATTTTGGGATATAGTAGAACGTACCGAGTAGTGTCTCGGATTATATAAGCAACATTTTTAGTTATAATGTGTATGATTTTTCATTCTTACAAAGTGTGACAAGGAAAGGTAAAACGTTAAGTGAAGTTGGACAGTAGATCTTTTATTATAACCGGTAAAGTAGATCCTATGACTCAAGCGCACCTACAGTTGAGAGATAGTATTCGCAATATTTCACGTTGAAAAGACAATGAACTTCATTGATAGAGAGATACTGTCATCGAAGACGCAAATAAATCATACTAGGAAACGAACTGTACCTCTAACGTTTTCAACAATGTGAGAACGTGTGTCAAAGCATCAACACGATTGTTTTTGTTCATTTTTATTGGTCGAAGACGTCCGCTGTCTCAGATTAACTTGACTTTATCACAGGATGGGTCTGGAATTTACATCCCACCTTCAGCCTAACAAGAAGTGATCGATCGAAGATAACCTAATTAGCTTTACACCACATAGATTACTTAAGAATAGGAGTCTTCTGAGTAATTTAGGCAAAAAATCCTTTCCTTAAATTTAAAAATGCTGCTTAATAATTTATCTGCATCTTTGTCTAGTTCGATGATATGGTCATATGTAGCTGAACTTACTGAATATTTTATTTATGTAGAATGTTTCATCAACTATGGACAGTAAATGATTGACGCAGTCTAGGACATGGAACCTCAGTAAAGTGCTTTTTAGTTCACAAAATGTGTGGTACGACTAAGATATCTGAATATCTATAGTGGTCTTGTGCAACAAATACAAATTTCTATAACTCTCTTTCTTTATGAATTTCCTCTGAAGATTCTTTTTAAAATTGTATTTCTGTTCAGAACATTTTAGGGATTCGTTTCTTCACTTTTTTTCAGCTATACATGCATTCTACCAGCAAGTTATGTAATAGAATGATGCAACTTAAGATTATTTAGTGTAAGATTTAATCTGTATCTCATAAGTGCCAAATAATGTTAGAATTTATGAGGTCAGAAAGGGTGAAGAACATCAGAAGACTTCAGCTGTTCAAACGTCATTACCTTCATAGTCCAGGTTGTGAGTTGTGGTGCTGTCACTTAAGTAATGTGGAAGTTAGATGCAGAGTTTAGGCTAGAAGAGGCAAGTCAGTTTGTGAGGCTGTGAGCCCTCGTCTGTCCAGATAGCTGGGTCATGTGTTTTTCACACCTCATCTCAGTCTGTATCGTCATGTAGTGTTGGCCGAATTAGGTTCAGGCTAGAAAATGTTATGTTATAACATGACACCATTTCATGAAGTTTTTGACTGTTGATTTGAGCCATGTTGAGAAATTTAGACTTCTTCATTGGAGTCTGTATGATAACCAAAACTAGTGGTTGAAAGGTGTAGGTGATATGGCTCAAAATCAATATCAGTAGTGCAGATACATCTCCATCCTAATTTTTGCACCAAAATTTCACCATTGTTTTACGTCATCTTGATCAGTTTTAACAACTTTCCATAAATTTTACTTTCTTTCTTATTCCTTAATCTTTCATATTTTGCCTCTTACCTTGATATGCTAATGCAAGGTGTGGCAAATCGGACTGTTGCAAAGTAATTCTAGGTTTCATATTCATGCTAACTGACTAACTGACCGATATTTCTGCACATTTGTATTTATATGATGTGAAACATCCATAGTTTCACAATACAAGCAGACTGACCACACATAAAATACTAATGAAGGCGTATAACCTCTTTATTTCACTGAATACTTTCATTAATATTGTACACTGATTGAAAAGTATACACCATACTTAGCTTGTAGAAATCACAACATACTTCTAAGATAAAATGATTCCTCCTGTTGGTTTGCCAATTTAACTTTCCTCAAAATAATTTTAAAGATGAATGCATGGACTTAAAACCATGAAGGTATTCTTTTTATTCGATCCTATTGTGATTACAACTTTTTAAAGTGGATCTTAGCCTTTAAGTGAAGAACAGCGTTTAACAGGTTATTTCATAGATGTGAAACTGAATGGTGCTAAATAACAGTCATGAGGAAGCTTTGAACCTAAGCTTCCTTCGTATTTTGACACTTATTAACAGGTATCATTTACAGTCTTTAAGGAATTCATGTTCAGTTTGAGATTCAGTTTAGCGTGACTCAGTGTTGAGGAAAAAGACTCAACCACTAAGCTATTCAGACCACAGCTGACCATCTGCAGGAGTGCGACATGCATAAAAATTGGTCATGTTATAATAGCATAGTGATAATAATGATAATGGTAATAATAATAATCGATAAGTACTCATCACTGTTGAAAGTTTTCCTATCAAATTACAGTATATGTATTATCTGCCGTACTAAAAGGGTTTAGTATAAATTTTAAACTAACAACATATTTCTTTTTGATATGTACGGGGATTTTAATTTAAGGTGGTATTCATCACGAATTGACATCATTTAGGGAAACATTAAACACTGATATGCTTCCCGATGGACATCACGAAGTTGTACTAAGGAACCGTGACTTGTGGGGTCAACCAGTCTGAAGGGAAGCGGATGCCATCTGAAGATCTTGGGTGACAGTCGAGCTATATCGTGAACTGACAGTAGTTGGAAATTGCGAACCACTGAGAACCGACCCAATGGATGAATGGTTAACGCGTTCGCCGTGAAACCTATCCCTAGCCATGTCATGGGTGCATACTGGTGAGGAGTGCCATATTAGGGCGAAATTGCTGTCCAGTGCTCCCAGGTTCTCAATTACTCGCCAACTGATGTCACTACGTGGTGAATACAACCTTAAACTAATAACCCATTTGATGTATTATCGTATTCGTAGTAGCTGAGATGCAAAGCCTAACATGAGATGAATTCGGATCACGAAAATATCTTGACCTGACCTAGAAATACTGAATTGTATTATCATTTGGAGGTTCCTCAAATTTCTGCATGAAACCCTGGGTAACTATTTCTATCGTTAGGCTAATGGTTATTAGTGGTTAACGTAAACTAAATGATCAGCTGATCCATCTTTATTCAGTGATACATCCAGATATATTTTTACATACGCCTTTCAGTCATCTTTTCCGAAGTGAAAATTTTTTGATGTGAGCTAGATGAACCACATAAAGGCAAGTACAAAAAGTCAGTTTTCATTTTAGGAATCATGAATTCAGATTAGTGACTTCATATCATTTAAGTCATAAATGTTTCACTGAAACTGTATTTCTGGTTCAACTCAGAACAGTCTATTATTCTGGATTGTCGTCAGTAAACGAAGGAGAACAGAGTTTACGAAGAGACAGCTAGATGTCTGGTCCTCAGTACTGTTTACATGGTATCAGTCATAAGTGACGTAGGAACCAACACGACAGTGCTTAGTAGTGGAAAGTTTACTTTATTCATCCAAGATTTCGTCCATGGCACTAGTAAAAGTGAATCCGTAAGTTAATAGAAAGTAATCGATCTCAGAGATGTGAACTTGCACATACTGCTGCGAAGATTTACGTCTTGAGAAAGCCTCTTGATAACTGATCTCCTGAGAGACTATGAATTTGTTTATTTTACCGCCCAATCAATCTACTAATGACCAACGATCAGGAGGATGAAAAGATCAAGTGGGATGTGGCTCAGGTTGAAAGTACTAGGTTCACGCACTAGCATATTTGCCTTCATGCGTTTATACTATGTAAACGTTGTCTTTTTATTGAGTTTCATATTATTGGTAAAATTACACTGACTTTCTGAAGTCATACTTCATGTACTACAAAAGTCAGTATTAGTTTTGTCTCAGTCTAAATATTTTGTGAATTTACGTACTACATACTTACCTTCCATGTTTTGATTTCAGCCCATAGTAACAGAAACTCTTCTAAATCAATTTGACCAGTAAGATTTGTCTGACAAAAAGATTTTACGTCAAGAAAGAATAACATTGCTGGTAATTTGTCAAAAATGTAACTGTTATTTGCGAAATCTTAACCCAGGAAACCTTGGTAATGCTAAAAATTGTCAGTGAGCTAATTAAATCAACCTCCTTGAAGCTCACTTTTCTTCTAGCTTGTCTAAAAGGTTACATCAAATCATTTTGTAAGTTTCACTGGTATTGACTTTCATGAGCTGTGATTTGGTCATCAAGATTTCATTATTTGTTAAGGCAATATCACTAGAAAAAACCCTTAGAACTTTACAAAAGATTTCTTGGGTGTAATTACTTTACTATGGATAAAACAGCTAGTAAATTGTTTACAGTTTTATTAGGTTTCTCACGTGCTTTGATTCTTCTTTGATTAACTTAGTCAATCGGTAGTGTTAATGGACACGCGGATAAGAAGGCTTTTATCAGCTCTACGAATTTCTCCGTCCCGTAACATGTTGACGTATATCTCTAACCAGAATAAAGGTGTAACTATTTTAGCCAGTGATCAATTACTACGGTGAAGATGGACATCTTTTCGAAGTTAATCGCATCTATCACAGTAAGTGAATCCGAATATTAATTTCGTCACACTGTGGCTAACTATTCGGCATTCTTATTGGTGTGATATTTCTTACTAGACATTTCTTCATCGGATATTGGGAGTTTATCATCTCAAGGCTTATAGTTAGCTCAGTGATTACGCAACACTTATAGCGCATACCATTACTTTCCGAGGTGGTTGATTCACTGGTGATTTTTGTCTATGAATTTTTCTGTCATCAGTGTTGGTAAGGCGAAGAGAGCTATAATACCATATCGAATCTGCTTTACATGTAATGTGTATGTTTCAATCTTCCCTAGATGGAAGTTAATAATGCAAATTTTACGGAAAGTATGCTGTCAACATTCACTTTGTGAGAAGGAATTGGTATACACCTTAACATCTAATTTTCACCCATCCGCAACAATTATTCACTTTTGGTGCTGTTGCGTTTTCGAGGCTGGTTGATTTAATCGTGATGCTTTCATTAGCCTTCTAAACAGTTTAATCAGCACCAACTTTAATATATCCAGCTTAGGGAGTAACTCAGTACCGAGCTTATTCACCAACGGGTACAAATATTCCCCATCAGTCCACAGTTATTTGAGTTGGCTGTCACAGATCTCCATTCTAGTCGTTTAAGACAAGCATTAATACTCACTCGAAATTAATTTTGAGTTGAAAAGTCAAAACAAATCCTATTAGGATTCATTACTTATAAATAGAGTTTACAGTTTCCTACGATCTTGGAGTACTGGGCCAAAAAAGTACATAATATTTGAACGGTTAGCAGTGGGCAATTCAGTATCATACCAATCACCGTCTACAAAACAAAGTTCTAAAGTAGGAGGATCTCTTTTGATAATTCTATCTCACTCAACATTGAAGTTATCGATTATTCAATCTACCTCCTTTCTAATAAGTTGGTTCTACAGAAGTAACCCAAATGGATGCCATAGTTAATACGATATTCTAATCTTTCAGAAGTATACTGTATTCGGTGAGAAGACGTATCGATTTATGTAACACTGATGCAGCTATCAAAGGATACTGATACAGATGGCAATAAACTCCTGCACAGACTATCATTAAACCGATAAAATGATGTATATCATCTGTAAAGGAACAAAAAACAATAGATATCAGTCAGAATATTGTACAGCGAGAGTCTTAGAATGCAGTTAGATATGACTAACAACTTTGCTTTTTACAATCACCAGCATTGTAAGAGTGTGAGCAAAATCTTGATTACATTTACGTCCATAAACATACTGCTGTTTGGTGCAAATTGCAACAGATTAGCTATGCTTTTTAGTTCATACTTGACATTTACCTGAATACTTTGGGTGTTTCGTGATTTCTGGAAGGAAAGGCCGAAGCATAATGTTATTCCTCGAGGTGGTTAACAGTAACTTGTAAGGAGAACCACTCTTCTCATTTATCTTTGGTCAACTGAACACATACGAAAGCAAGTTGAATTTCTCGGTGGGAATGGAAACAAGCAGCTACCACTTTAAACGCTGCTTTTCAGTGGATATGTAAGATGGAGTATCTGAGCAACAGGACTGAAAAGAAAGTTGCTGGAACGGCAGATAGGCTGATTTAGCTTAGCATTTCACTTGCTTGAAGTGAAACTGAAACATATACAATAACACTGCCACGTGGTTTCACACTTTCACTGTTTGATCAATTTTCCGTACAATCTGTGGTAGCACAATTCTTACACGTTAAGTGAAATCAGTCTTTGTACACTATTTCATTGTTTATTTATGAAGTCAGTTATACTGAATCGCTAAAAAGGTCACCCAAACAACTACTGAAGTAGCCAGCTGGAGTTCTGTATTTTATAAAAAGACTACTTTCCCTGGTAAAAGAGATGTGACTGGTTATTTCAATCGCCGCTACCGTAGGCTTTAAAGGCACCCGGTAGTTTACCTTGATGAATTAAAGTCGGTTGCGGTCATGTACTTCTTTTGCACTTATACATATATATGCGTAAAAGCATAGCTCAGATGTCAGATGTGCAAAGACAGTGGGTAATCAGCCCTTATCTTCTATCCAGTCTTGTTTTCAGTTGATTTGGTGACTTATAGGTGTGGTTTTACATAGTAAGTGTAGCGATATTCATAAAGTCATGTATAAAGTCTGAATCAAGTGACAGCGTACTAGTTCCTCATGATCAATCTAAAAACAGGCTAAAAAGACCTGGCCTTTTGATTAGGAATACATGTTTTAACCTCTCAGGCTAGATCAGTTCAGGTGTTTTGCTGACTAACTCTACTCGGGACCGCTTAGACTTTCGGGCTGCCAAAAGTTTCCATTATAGATATCGCAGTAAGTATACTGTATTTTAATTTTCTTCAGTTGTCCAAATATGACCTTAAATCGTATCACGTACTCGCCCAAACCTTTCAGAAATTATTAACCAACTGCTATGAACTTCCCGAATATAATAAAGAAAAGACATCATAGTGGGTGGTAGCATGCTTTAAATTGAACAAAAAGGCATCGTGACACTATTTGAAATACTCACCTCAAACTTAAGATCCTTACTGGGTAGGGTTGACTATTTTCAGTGCCTCCTGTGTTCTAATGTTTGTCGAAATGGTGGTTTTTATTAACATTACAAGAAATTCGGTTGCACAACTTATATTATAATTATTTAGTCTCCATAAATGGTTTCAAAATATTTCGTCAGGAGCAGTGTGGTTCTACGAAAAGGTGCGGTGGAGGTGGGGCTACCTTTATCAACATTCAGTGGTGGGCATCAAAGTATACATGTTTTGTCAATTCTAGTGACAATATCAACAGAATTACTGTTAAGTATCATTCCAAAAGTTGAGATAAATTTCAATTCATTACCTTACCAATGTTTGCGTGATTCAGGGTTGTAGCTATTCTAACTTATCCAGATTCGCTGATGAATTCAAGGATTGACCGCTGCCATAATGTGTGTTTCATCGTCTATCGTCTGCGGTGGTTTTGACTTTTGTGACTGGGGCTTCTTGCGTTCTATCAATCACAGTAACCCAGTCACTTTTTCAACTCGTTTTGATGCCTTGTTAGACTTGGTCTTCGTTAATGAACATGGTGCATCTGAAGCTCGGAAACTTACACCGCTGCTGAGCTCAGATCACCGAATTATACGTGTTCTGTCAAGAACACACGGCAAACTGCAGAAAAATACTTTTACATACAAAGGAGACTACGTGTATGAGCTTTACCTATGACGATATACGCAAACTCAGATACTTGTTACAAAACGATAAATGGAACATAATTGAAAAGGATCCCCTGGATGACGTAATCGATGCTGTTAATTGCTATCCTAAGTTTTGCCTTTATATTTGCTGCCCAGGTGAAATAGTTTTTCAAAAGTCTGATAGACTTTCTTCTCCTGAGTAAAAAATAAAAACTGTACAAATCGAATGATTATACTGGTGCTAAACGACATAACTGCTAGATGAGTCTGAAATAAAACGCCTAAATTTAATGTACAACTAAAAGATAATGTCGTAAAGAAAACTCTTCTAGTTTGTCGAGACATTTTAACGATCTTGCTGGCAAGAGAAAGCACAGAAATGAAACTTACGAAAACGTCTGTGCACAAAATCAGTCATTCATACGTAAACCTGCTAGTGTTATCTTATCTAGATCTTCACATATAACAGAAAGCAGTTCTCCTAAATTCATTGAAACAGTGTGTTCAACTGTCTAAAATCATTAAAATCCTCTAAGCAATCCTGAACAGGTGGCATGCCAGGGATTCTACTTAGTAAGTGTGATGATATGAAAATCCACTCAGACAGTTTTTATGAGTCCATTGAAAGAAGTGATATACCAGTCTTCTAGAAGGGAATCAAAATTGTTCCGGCACCAAAGTTTAGATCTTATAGAGCAAAAATGAAATTCCGACTAATAGCAATAACTTCACCGCTCCTAAAAACAATGAGAAACCTGTTGCCCCGTGTGCCTGAACCTTTTTAGAAGGCTTTCAGAGATCGAAATCTACTCGCCTGCAAACTCGGAAGCAGTAACTTAGATCCCGCAGTTGTCCTATATCATAATATTATTGTCAGTCGAGACAAACATACTAAATATGTTAGATCTACCTTCTTAGAATATCCCTCTATCTTTGATTCTGTCCCTAAACCCCTTTTATAAAACAAAATTGCCAGAGTACAGATTGAGACTTGGATCGCAAACTGTCTTGATCTTATTTTTCTGAAAGAAGACGGTACACTGTATGCAGAGGGAAGCGCTCTATTTTGCTAGTTAGGGAAGCTGGTATGCCTCGAGGTCCCCTTATATCTCCTTTTCATTGCTTTTTCTTTTTGTGTATCCTACAAATCCCAACCAAAGTTAACTTTGTTAAGTACGCAGATGACCTAACAGTATCTATGCCGATGATCTCCTCTTCAGATTGTTCTCAGTCTAATAACTTCCTAACCGAAAAACTGGTCACTGGTCTTCTTTAAATGGCCATAATTTCAATCCCACCAAATATCAGATGGTCAATTTTAGCTTAAGGACAGAACGAAACCTTTGTAGTTCGCTTTGTAGCGTTTATTTTGCAGTATTTTGTTGACATATTTCACATCTCATACTTGAACAGTGGATTAATTGAACAAATTTCAAATTTGTCGACTCATTGGCCAGTTAAATATCCTGCTGCATACTTTGCGTTACCTCCTGATATTTACACTGTCTGACGAAGGTGGATCAGCAGTGTTGGGGATAATAAATATGCGATAGTGTATCAGGGCGCGTATATAAATTTCGAATTCGATATCAGAGCGCGACAGCTTCATTTCCATGGGTGTTGGCTTACAGATTACTCTAATGTAGAGAATGTATCAAGCGTGATCAAACTTGTTTGATGTTTTTCTTCTGTTATTTCTTGGTCCCGTCATATTTTACTGATTTCCAGGGAAATCTTTAGGTTGACATTTTGTATGAGGAATCTCAGACTTCCTGACATAACTCAGCCACTATCTTTAAGGTTTTCCTCATTCCTATGTTTTTCCTATACTTACTTATTATCCCTCTTTATTCTTTTCTGGACTCTGGAATAACGACTACACTGCATTGTGTAATGTTTTGAAGGTTGGTAAATGTGGTCTTGCATACACATCTGAACTCTTATAGACAGCTGGCTACAAATATTTTATTTGGTGACAAGCAACCTCTGCATCTGAAACTCTCTTGATGTCTGTCTTCTGGGAAGACAAGAGTCAAATGTATAAAATTCTATGCAAACACAACTACATACAAAAATTCAATAGTACCTTATTTAGCTTGTGTGTATTGCATGAAGATATAGATATAGTCTTACTAATCAACTTTGCAATAGCGAACAGTTATCATGACCTTGTAGTGACTGAACATTTCAGTAATCATGTTATTCTTCATTATGTATTGCCAAATAGTACTATTATTAATACATATTTAAAAAATGTTGTACAACGAGTAAGGTGATGCAGTATCAAATGCTGTGCTATGAACGGAATTACAGTTCGGAATAAAGCTAATATTTTATGTACATTATATACTGTAAACGAGCAAAACAGTCATCTGGCGCTTAGATCATCTTTATCTATTTAGGAAACATGGCTACCGCTGTAAGTTACTAGTGTATACCGTAACCCAACAGGAATTTATCTTAACTTCAGAGATTCAACATACATCTGTTAAATGAATCCCTAAAGAAATTTTTAGCTGGTAAAATATCCAGGAGTTATTATAGTAAATATTTGTTAATTTCAAAAAGAAGCATATTTACTAACCTTTAAGATCACTATGATTTAAAATATAACCTAATTTTGCAGCATCAATTGTTTGTGTCTCAGGATTACAAACTTGACCAAACTTGTATTCTGCTGTTTGAAGTTCAATCTAAAGAAAGACAAAACGCCGAAATACTTTGTCACTGCAGATAAAAACAGGCAATCAGAAGTTATTCGATCAGGTTTTTACAAGATCCTTAGTCAGTAGAGATGATGAAATAAGTAGAATTTTATGAATAATTTCGTTGATTCCAGATATTAATTGGTTTTGTTTAGTAGCCAAACAGTTCTAGGTCGTTGAAAACTTTTCGTTGACCGAGTGAAACCAGTCAGGATGCAACGCTGAAAAGCTTAATCCAGGTAGAATTGTAAATATCCAGTATTTAGATTACTGCAATCTGGTTGAGAGTCGTAAGGAGTTGACATGAGCAGTTTTCAAATTCTGAGACCTATCTGTAGCGTATAAGTAGTCATTCAATAAATAATGCAGTCAGCGATATAGTTTGCGGTGTGCAATGGTCCGAAGAATACTTTCTATGAGCTCATACTGAGGTGAGGCTTCGGTCGATACACATTTGTATGCCTGACCAAACCTAGTCATCTATGCTTTACCCTGAAAGCTACCATTTTTTACTAGACTACAGCATGTTTTGTTTTCTGCACGAGTTGACAGTCGGCTGAGAAACTATCTCAATACAAACATGAACATCCTGAGCTGCAAATGCTTCATAAAAATATATTTTCTGTGTAATAAACATTTTTTTAAAAATTACACTCGACCATTTAATATATGGTGGAATATGGTTGTGTTGACAATTTCCACTTGAATAATGCAATAATGATGCTAAATGGGGAATAAGATCCATAATCAGGATGGGATTTTGTTAAAAGTATTTTTAAAACATTTATTTTCTGTTACTAAGAAAATGCAGTACTTATATGGAGTTGTACACCTTGAGAACGGCATCACTGAATAGTGACTCTTCACTGGATATTCTTTGTTTTATATTTACTGGAAAGTAACCAATTTCATGTCGTCCACTCTTGGGTGCTGGTGGAATTCTGTAAATCGTTTTGCAATGCAACCACAAAGCTGGGAGGTTCACTATTGCAGTACACTTGATAGATGTTAGTTAGAAACTCATCTGCACAGTTTTTCCACTGGCATTTCCTTAATGTCTTCCTAAATATAATATTCAAACCAAAAAAAAAATCTCAAAGCACTTTCGTAAAATTCAAGAACGTAACAATATTTCACTCAAACTTACCAGGATTGTGCGTTCAAGAGCTTCTACCGTTTCCTTAAAAAAATAAGTGAAATATGAAAAGCTAGTTAAAAACTGGCGACTTGTATAGTTGACAGAAGAAAAAAGGTATTTATATATTTCTAATCAAAACTTCTTACTGTTATTCAGCAGTAATCGCCTAAAATATCATGAATTTTCCTGCTGAACTCTGTGTTCAAAGTCAGCACATATGACACAATAACTTCGCTGAGTTTCAACTGATATATATATATATATATATATATATATATATATATATATATATATATATATATATATATATATATATATATATATATAGTGGGAAACAGAACATCCATTGAGAATAAGTGAATCACCTAAATCATAGCTTTCAAATCATGAAGTTTGAAAGCTTGGTCATCTTAATCATAATATGTGGAATACTGAAGATGACAGGGTTTCCAAAATTTTCAACATTTTTCTAGACATTATAAATTCCGTTTATCTTCAAGTTATGTTTTAAGCTGAGAGAACGTAAATATTTTCAAATATGCTTAAAGAACTTCCTAATCTCTACTAATAAATACCTAACATCAACCACAAGGTACAGTGACGGTAATTAACTTGTAGTGATCTTAGTAACTAGCAGAAGAATCTAGGACGCAAGTTTCATCCTATTTCAGATTCATCAGTTGAACGTACATGGAGCTCAGTGAGTGATGTTATTCCCACTGGGGCTCGAACCTAGTACCCTTCACTTAAAACGCCAGGGTGTTATCCAATAAGCCACTGTGACTCGAGAGCCATCACTCGCACAATAGATATCAGTTGTTGTAATTTCTCCTTGGTATACAGGGTCAAACTGCCTGGCCTCCTAGTTTAGTAATTTTTATAAGTGAGAAACGAAAACTATGACGTCACCTGTTCAATAACTATTCTGTAGAAATATTCGCTTCAGAAGCGGCGGGATGAAATACAGTTTGGTGTATCTATAACGGTTTGAAAAACTTAAAATTAACTAATTTTTCAGTGATATATAACTGTGAATGTTTAAAATCTAAGGGTTTAATTGATAAAAAGTTGACTAAAATATTTATTTGAAGAATTTTTTTAATCAATGGAACTCACCTTTGAAAACCCTTGATAAGTATTTGTATCGTCCAATTCTCTGAGGGAAGCATAAAAAAGGATGACTAGCAATTATTCAAAAAATTAAAAGTTGGACACTTTTTCACTCATCAAATACTGAAAATTGAAGAGTACAGCTCAAAAGTTTCATTTGAAACAAGACTCTTTCATTCCATGTAATAAAAATCAAATCCACACTTTGAGTCACATTTCTGTAGTTCCTAGAATTCACAGAAAATATCAGCATAGAACTAACCATTATTGCGTAACATTCAAGTCACCTCACTACACATTAGCACATCAACATACATAGCAACAAGGTTAAAACAAAGGAATGAAATAAAGCAACTGAGGGTCATAAAAGCCAGTGAGATAAAAAGAAAGTAGACAAAGACGTGAAGAATAGTGAGCGCGAAGACAAAAGACACTCCTATGACACATTGACAAGTGAAGCAGAACAGGCTGCAGGTGGGAGGGACAGAGACCTGACAACACTATATCAAATAACCAGGTTACTATCTGGGGGGAGGGGGGAGGAGATCAACTCATATGGAACCGATGAGAGATAGTGAAGGAAATTTAGTTAGCAAAGAGGAGAAACAAAGGAAACGATGGGCTGACCACTGCAGAAAACTCTTGAATCAACCACCAACACCACCACCAACTGCAACTCGTCAAGAATTCCACCAGCAGTCCAGCCAAAGAACTACCAGTGAACACAAGTCCCCTGACAAAAGTCGAAGTGATGTTCTGAGCTCCATGAAGTTGCCGAAACGTGGAAACGTAGCAGGACCAGATGGAATTTCTCCAGAAGCACTGAGAATAGGTGAAGAGACCACTACTGCAGAGGGTTTGAAAGGAAGGAAGGAGAGGTACTTGGTAGTTGGTTTGAAGAAGGGCTACCTGGTCAAACTTCCAAGGAAGGGCGACCTGAGTCTTTGCAAGAACAAGAACAGGCGCGAAATCATGCTGCTGTCCACCCAGAGCAGGCAAAATATTAAGCTGCATCATCCTGGAGAGACTGAACAATGCTCTGCATTCAAAATTACGACCGAAACAGGCTGGCCGTCTTCAGGAAGAACAAATCATGTGTGGATCACATTGCCACGCTACCCTACGCATCATCATAGAACAGAACATAGAATTGCAGTCAACTCTCTACCTCACCTCAACTTCATTCACTTTGAAAAGGCCTTCGACAGAGTCGACTGAGAAACTATTTGGCAGGCAGCTGCTTCTACACTACGGTTTCAGTGCCACAAATATTTATCAACCTCATTCAAAAGCTATATGACAACGCTACATGTCAAGTGATTCACAATGGAAAGCTCAGTGACACCTTTGAAGTGAAGACATGCAGGAATAAGACAAGGCTGCCGCCCACTACCACCGATGATCTTCCTGATTGTCGACCACTCGACTGGACTGCACTGGACTGGATTATGCACATACAACAGTGAGAAGATGGACCGATGAAAATACTCTAACAGATTTGGATTTCGCCGACAATGATGATTTTTGTCCAGTGTCTTGTTGCACAAACTCGAAGATGTACAGGCAAAAACCAACAAGTTGACAGAAGAGGTGAGGTGAGGTGAGGTGAGGTGAGGTGAGGTGAGGCAGCGAAGATGGGACCGACTTCAGGTGAACGTAGAGAGGACAGGGGTGATGAAGACATCCAACCAACCACAACAACGACAACAATAACAAGCACCAATCACCATGAACGGGAGAAACCTAATGGAAGTAGTCTCTTTCACCTACCCACCTACCTAGGCAAGGCAAGGCAAGGCAATGCAAGGCAGCATCGTTTCAACTAGAGGTGTTGGTGGTGGCACACATGTGGATGTGAAAGCAGCCGGGATCGGAAAGATAGCAAGACAGGCTTTCATTAATCTGAGATCAGTGTGGAGATCTACTGTACTGTACTGTACTGCACTCAGCGTAAAGCGTGAACAAGATTCGGATTTTCAACACAAATTCGGTCAAGTCAGTGCTTCCATGTGATGGTTGAGAAAGTTGGCATGTTATGGAAAGCATTTCCAACAAACTATATTCATTGATCAACGACCGGCTAGGCTGGATACTGAAGATCAGATGGATTGTCAGAAAGCATGAGCAACAAGGAACTCACTCTGGCTGTCTGGCGACGAACCAATGGAGAATTCATCTCCCAACGTGTATGCAGAAGAAGGAAGTGGAGATGGATTTGATTGTGCATAGACTGAGAAGGCGGATTGTGGACATGACGTGGCAGGCGTGGTCTTCGAGTGTAACCCAACTGGGAAACGACTATTTTGGTGTCTGAGGTGAGGATGACATGAAGGAGATGTTGTGAGGACGAGATGAGAGATTGTGGGCATTGGTGGGTGGTGGGTGTTGGGTGGTGGTTGAAGATACTGGAGAGAAGAGAGTGTAATGGAGGCGTGCTACTGAAGCCGTATGTTCCAGTCGGAACCCGAAGGGAAAAATAATATAATAATAATAATAATGAAATCCATTGTGTATCATAATATTAAAAAAGGTCATATATGGGTTCTGAAAAACCGATTTCTTCCACTTTACCCGCCTTTCTCTGAAATGAATCTTTTTGTTATTGGTTCTTGATTAAAGACGATACGACCGTAGTAAACCACGAATTCCTGATGGTGTATGTGAAATAAATTTATGCTACCTAGATAATACACGGTCCCTCATATATAACAGTGTTCTCGGAAGAAATAAATCTTAGTGACGAGTGAACACGTTCAAGTACGCACTGACAAATCAGAATCAAGTATATGAACGACAATATAATGAAGAAAACAGTACCTAATTTCTAATTTATAAATCAATTCTACATGAGTAATAAGGGTATCTAGGTTTTCAGTGGATGTGTATTCTTGGAAATCATACTGCTGTTTGCATTGCCACTCATATACATTAAGCCATAACATATACCGTAATGTTCACCCTAGAGGTGTTAGAAAGTTTCTAAGACGGTTGTACATACTTTTAACATTGTAACTATGGACTTCACTTGTTTGATCAATGAAGTATTTGTTTAGATTAATAACTTTAAGGGGGTAACTAGCTGTAAATAACTCCATGAACGACTACCAGTTAACTATGTAAACTGGTTTACGCGATGAAACCTGTTTCTTGTATTATGAGTAGGATAGGTTTTTCTGATCTATCCTTCATCCATTGGAAACGTCCTTTCTTATATTTTGGTAGTACAAACCAAGAATCTGTGGTTTGTCAAGACATATGTGTTTAACTTACACACTCTTGTTGAATTCGTTGTTTTTCGGTAAATTTATTTTTCTGAACAAGATGTTCATGAATTTCAGTCACATTACCTGAGCTACCAAAGTTCACATCTAACCAGCAAATTATTTCGGAGCAAATATCTCTGCACAGCTGATACCAGTCCACAGAAGAAACTTCAATAACACTTGTCAAAGATCCTGTTGATATTACAGGTGTTCCAACAAACGAATATAGCTGTAATTTTCGTTAGATAGGTGAGATTTTTCAAAAAACCATCCTGTCCTCTCAGTTTTTTTATCTTGTAGCAGCTGGAACAACCAAAGTTGAAACTACCACTTTCCTCAGCTATCTGGCGAACAAACTTCATGAATGATCTTGAATATAGCATCTTGAACCTAATTGGTCGTCTTCAAGATTTCCTGTCATTAATATTTAGTTCTAATGCGTTCTTCAGGAAAAATCGTATGGCTAGTAGACTTGGCATGATTCAAACGTGAACATGATTGGCAGTCACTAAAATAAAGTTGAACTGTTTGTTTCTTTTGTGTCACGACGGAGCAAAATAATCGTGTTTATTAGAGTGACCCTTATGTAAATGAGAATGATTCACTTAACCTAGAGGTTGCTGTTTCCAATTCTGTTAGGAATGGAAATTTCTCTTCACTATAGTCATAAGTTTTTACGGAATACAACACAGTCAGACTAACGACAAAATAAAACTTGGACACTATCAAGGTATACAACCCCGTATTGACTTATGTCTTCGATATTCAACAAAATAAAATGGTAATAATCACTAAATGGTGTTTTGAGCACAGTTAATTGTCAGCAGACACATCAAATTCGACTCAACAACTTTCATACCCTATATTAATAATCCAATTTTTTTACCTTCTTTATATCAGTGGTTATAGAGTTTTCCAGCTCTCTGGAATGGGTGCTGAGTCATTCTTATTCCATATTGATACAATAAAGCAAGCTTTCGTAATCTACCCATTCCACCTATCTGCTAAGTTTTTTTTTAAAGGAATGCCACTTTATTCTATACATTGCTAAAGTTTAAGTTTTCCGTAGATTTATCTTAGAGATTCTACCATTCTAAATACTTCCAAGTTTTTATGCTGTGTCAATCTCTCCTACTCCGACCGATTATGTAAACCAATGTATTTGAAATAATAGACTTTGTATGGAACTAGCTAAGTTGAACTGAAGATAAAGAAGTATGGCAATGGGGTGTCGAAGTTACAGAGTTACGTTTCCGTATGACTGTGAACAATAAACTATGTTCCGAACATCATGCCGTCATTAATACTGTTTCACTGAGTGAAAGATCCGAAAAACAATTAACTGAGCATTCCATAGGCAGACGATTCCAAGGCGATGATGTTCATAAAAGTAGAACGAAGATACTTGAAAAACCAGGTCTACCAACTTGTACCTCAAACTATGAGTTTAAACAGATAAGTATAAATTGTAATAAAATGGTGCAATTGCTCGACGTTCAAGAATATTGGAAAGAAATTGTTGGATATGGCTTTTATTTTCGGTGTCACTCATATTCAAAAGATATCTACAGTGCGACTTTAAGTTTACTTCATAAGTGTTAAAACGAAATTCGTCAATAAAGATCTTGCCGTTGGTCTATTAGGAGACTTGGAAAATGGATACTTTGCTACTGTTTTGCAACTGGACTTCTAGTCGTCAACTGAATTCTGATCAGACTTCGCCGATAGGTGCACTACAACTGATGACCACTCTTACCCACGCAATTTGAAATGCGCTTGATTGTGATACTCTCTTCATTGACTGGATTCCTTGAATTTAATCAGTACTCACGATAAATGGCATAGCGAGAAGGGGAAGGAGTTAAATCAGTTAATCTACCGATTGTCTTCTAGTGGGATACTAGACACACTCGAGAAATCTCACATGAAAAGAAGAAGCATGTATACAAAACTTTTAAATGGCTAAACCAGCATCTGTCTTCATTGTTCGCTGAAGACAACAGAAGGTCTTGTCACCCTATCATCCCCGCTGTCTAAATTTATCTGACACTTTTTTCAATATATCTGTATTTTCTCATACTGGTTGGTTTGAGGAAATTAATAGAGTTTACTATCAGTTATAATATCGCATTATAAATAAACTGAACATTTTTATGCAACTATTAAGTTAGCATCTCTGTACAATGGGTCGGATTCTCATAACTATATCAGCTTAACACGCACTACTTAGGGATAAATGCCTTAGATATGTTAGTGACGGAAGACTCGCAGTACAAATGTCATTAACTAATAAACTATACTTCCTTTATACAAGATTTGAAGTTAAACTTACAGTTGTTTCATTTTCACCGGGGAGAATATACGTACTATGAATTTTCCTTCTTGTCCTGGATCATATGTTGTCGGTATTAATATAAATGTCCCAGGAAATAGTCGATCTTCAAGTGTCACTTCACGTCTTGCTATGTATTGTGTAGTTGTTAATGGTTTACGACAAGATAATTGTTCTGCTGTCAGGCGTGTATTTTGTCGAGGTGAAACCTGAAATTAGGATTAGGAAAAACTTTTTAATTTTTATCCTCTTATGTAATGTCATTCTATTAATTTTCAGATTGAATGGCTTTAAAGAAAAGGTAAATTGTGGGGTGAATAAAACCTGTTGAATTTGATAAATGACGCTGTTAAGCCCCCCAAAAAAGACACTGCTAAGTAAATCTGAATTGGAAGTAGGGGGAATGTACTCAATGTTTCCAGGCATATCTAAACTAATTATCATTTGTGAAAACTTGTTTCGCCTTATTTTCAGAAAGTGGATTTGGTGTATTTTTTATCTGATGATGGTAGTGCATAAAAATTATTTTTGTCCTACATGGCCATTAAACAAACTTGGTCTACTCAAGATCAATCATTCAATGTCATCATCGTGATTCTAGTGTGATTTTTATCAAACCATTAGTGCATCTGAAAGTGATAGCTATCTTCTGCTCTTTCATACTGATCTACTAAATTAATGAAATTATCTAAAAGTACAATTTAACTCTGAGTATTAGTATAAATTAGATAGCTTTAACAGACCGTATCCTGCCTTGTGAAGGTAAAACAGGTTGAGATGAGTTATTTTAAAGTGTATTCTGTTGGTAAACTACAATATTTATAGAGAATTAAGGTACTAACGTATCAGTTGGCAGGTGAAAAATAACTGTAGTTAGATATTAGGGCACATTATTGTCTGAGTGATTCAAACAATTAGTACTTTGAGAAGTGTAGTTAATACGGCACTCTGTATGCCACATAACTTGAGGATTGAAAGCCTTTCCTGTGGAACTCTATCTTCAGTAAAAGCTGGTAGTACTTATAAGATTAAACAAACGTTACTCTGAAAAAATCAGTTTTTCGTTATTTTGCTAAAAATTATGGTTTTTAGACCTAATTAAACGTTATCTTAAAATAGATTGCGATGTCTACATTGCATCTTTTTCACCAAACAAATCAATCTGAAGGAATTGGCAAGGAAACGGAAGTTTCTCCTGCGCTTCCTCATCAGACACTACTTATGGAGGAGGAGAAACTTCTGAATGCCAATGAAGAACCGATACTACTACCTTATGGTGCATTTCGTCCTAATATATAACCTTAAGAAATGGTTGTCAAAGTTGGATGTTATTTTTCATCTGGGAGTATTTGATTGACACTAAAGTCTGTAGCGTTGAGGCGAAACAAGAAAGGATTCTGTAGATCTAACATGAGTAAGACATAACTAGATTAAGTAAACATTATCATGCCAAGATCCTAAGAAGGGTGAAGGTTGCAGTTTTACAGGTCAACCGAAATTCAAAAAGTCAAGTTTTCCTTTAACCTGATTACGTAGGTGTTTGGATCTGTTTATTATGTAACTTTGAAATATATGACAGAGTTCTAAGAATCTGACAGAAGATGAGTTTTCGCAATTCATGACATTTTTGAATTAATTAATTGCATGAGAGCGGTGAATGTAACTGACTACTGTGTTTTATCACGTGACGCTGAGTTACTTTTCCCGAATATTCGGCTAGCTCAAACCATTTATTTTTAAATCATATGCACATAAGGTAACAGTCTGAGTGCTGAAATACCGAGTTGCTACTTGAGGGGATGATGTACAAGATGTATGCTTTATGCTCAGTTAACATTTGATGATGTGGTTTACAGACAAAAGTAATATATTCTGAAGTTTATGGAGTTTTTTCTAAAGTTGGTATTCATCAGGCACTGAAATCATTTGGAGAGCCATTGAAAACGTTGGAGCACTCGACGTTTGTTTCATCCCAGTATGGAACTCTTCAGAAGCACGCGGTGGGTAGTTTGGTTATATCACGAATTAATAGAAGTAGGAAATTTTAAGCCATTGAACTCCAAACCAGTGGTCAACACGTTCACTGCATAACCTGAAGGTCTCGAGTTTGATCCCTAGCACGGTCGTGGTTGCGTACAACTGATGAGTTCCATGCTGGTGTAAAATAGCTGCATATCGCTCCCAGATTTTCAGTGGTTCTCCAGCTGATGTCATTCCGCAATCAATACTACCCTGAAAATAAACCACTTATAAAATCTCGCTTAGGTTTAATACTTATAGATTGTCTTATGGATATCTTTCTACTACATGGAATTCTTCAACCTCTGTTGGTATATGGGCCCCTATGCGGATGCCTTGATATCACCTGAATATTCATTATGGTAATTTACTTAGTCGTGGCTGGCAGAGTCTCAGTGGGAACAGCATCACTTACTGTGTTGCAGGCACATCCAGCTGACGAGTCCCGAATTGGACAAGACACGCGTCCTAGATTCCTCTGCTAGCCACAACCAAGTAAACTGTTTTACGGATAGCCTTCTGAAATCGATAATCGAAGGCTGGCCTCTTAACAAAGTCATATAAGTGATACTTATATTATCTGGAACACAAAATATCAAATCATATCCTGCACATATTAAATAGTTGTTATTTGGTCACTGAATCTACTCTAGAAGTTCTAAATAGATCTAAGAATCCTTTTGTCGAAAAAATTCGTTGGTTGGAAGTCTTTACGCAGAGTTCAAACCACATAGTTCACAGTTGAGTACCAAAATGTGACAGATGATTTATGATTACATTTCTTGACAGTCTTATCTGATGAACATGAAACCCAGATCTAATAAAAGAGGAGGTTTACCAATAGCGAAAAATCCAGATCAAAGATGATCTTGTTCAAGTTGTAAACACAAAAACATGAAGCTCAAACTCCACAAAGATGTTTTTACCTCTGCACCAGAAGAGATGTGCTTTATGAATTTTAACCACGAACATCACCCAGTAGCCAATGTTGTTCGTAAAAAGTCCTCTGCAACAACGTTGAAATGGGTATTTTCCAGTCAACGACTGTTCTATGAAAAGTCTACGATTAAGTTACTACATCGGATCAACGTTTTGCACATGAATCGATTATTATTAGTTTCTCAGTCCGTTCCTGACTAAGAGCTGTTTACTCACTGTGCCACGAATTCTTCAACTACTGATTTCAAGTTAGAATTTATTAGGGATTGACATCAGTTACAGAACCATTAGAAACCTGGGAGCAATGAACATCTGTTTTGTCATGGTGTGGGACTCTTCAGCGGTGTGCTTCCATGAGACCACTCGGGGTCGGACCAAGGACTTATAGATTCCACGGTCAACATGTTAACTGTGAGCCACTGGGTCAAAACCCACTGGTTCATATTTCCCACTTCTGTCAGTTCACGATATGTCACGCTGTCCATCTAATACTGTCGTCAGGTAATTGTCTTCATATTCGACTAAGTTAGCCTGACGTCTTATTAGAACTTCAGGAATCACCTCTCAAAGGTAGTCACCAGTGAGTGCTAGATTAATCCCATATTAGATTTGTTTGTTTGATTTATAACACACAGTGATATAGTATTGTTTACTTGACGACCTATCGAGCAGAAATTATTGCTCACAATCATATCAATGTAATCACACTACTTTCGAAAGTAGCTATTACTGTGTCACTGTGTGTTATAGATCAAATAAAAAATCTAATGTGGGATTAAATTCTATCGCAGTGCCCAAGTTTTACACCTATATTAATGAGTACTAGATTAATTCAGTTTTGAGGTTTGTGAGAATTTCTTTATCGATTTCAAGTTGGTATTCATCACTTCTTAATTTAAAGTCACTGACTTATTCATTTAGTCAAATATTTTCATGTTTCTTACACAATTTCTATTCTTATATTATTTTCCTGGCTACGGCATTGGAAAAATTACTACTTTACAAATATTGACAGCTTTTGCTTACAAATAGTCGCTTTAAATTTTACAGAAATATATTGATGGATTGCAAATACTTCTGTTATTCAGCAAAGTAGTTTGTACTAAGATGAGTGCAAAACTTGGGCATTGTGGTAGAACGTAATTGTATGCAAGATTTGTTTATTTGATAAACAGTACACAGTGGTTCACTTGATGACATTTTCAGCCTAAATTCTTGCGCATAATCATAACAGTGTAATCACACTACTTCCAACAAGCCACTTTTGCAATCCTGCCAAGTCGTATTATTTGCTTTTGTCGGCAGTTCATTGAATCAAATGTCAAATGTCTAAATAATACAGCTAGAAAACCCACTAGTCAGAATAAGGACTTAATTAAACGAGGAATTGAAGCACATAAAAGAAGCACCTATAATTGATAATTATCCTCTACAGTTTGTTCACAAAGTCCTAACACATAAGAAACCAAATAGTAACAGTCGCACGAGTACGAAAAGCAACAACAACATAAGTACAAATGAGTTCACAGCCTCCGTTGTATATATATATATATATATATATATATATATATATATATATATATATATATATATATATATATATATATATATATATATATATATATATATGATTATACTCATGGGCATTATTGTGTACAGTATACAAATGCCTGCCTAGTATATTATCACACTTTCGTTCAACGCTGCTTAGTGCAGTTGAAATAAGAAATTACACTACTTTATTATTTAAACTATTTCATGATAAACTTTCGACAGTAATTTATAAATTATACACCTTATTGCCAACTATATTTGATCTGAATTCTGAAGTAATCAGTCGACTGACACTACCTTCGACCTCGTTGGTCAATCATTAACTAGTAAAACCCATTCGCTATGCGTAACAGCTTGTCTTTCCATAACTTTTCTTCTTCAAACTTTTGAGGCATAGTTGCCATAGTTAGCTGAATGAAGTTAGTCATGGTAAAATAAGTTTGCAGAACACAGTAAATTATTATAAAAGGTTTTGCAAATTATTCAGACGGATGACTTGTTAGGCACTTATAGAGTCCACAGGAAACTGAGATTAGTTAAAGAACCTATGAGAAGCATCGAGTTTCAAACAGTCGTCGAAAGTTAAGAAGCATATCTCACCTCATTCAGGAACCTGAGACTATTTCGACAGTGTATATGAGATTGAAGTCGACATTGGCACGTACTAAAACATGGTTTTTATGATATTTTTAATCTCCTGTTGGTATACAGGGTCGAGTTGTTTGCCTTGTGTTAGCTAGTGAGTTCCTATACGGATACCTCAATGCTGCTGAATGTTCATGATGTTATATTGATCTTGGTGACTAGCAGAAGAACCAAGGATGCCTGTTTCGTTACATTTGACATTTACTAGCTGGGTATACGCGCTTCCCAGTGCGTTATATTATTTCCCCTGAGACTCGAACTCAGTATCTTTCGTTTCAAACATCAGCGCGTTATGCGATAGACAAGTCACAAACAGGATGAAACGTGCATCCTAGATTCCTCTGCTAGTCACTAAGATCAATAAAACGAAAAATTGCCTACCTACAAATCACCGTTCAGATTACACTTTTAGTTTAGATTTTCATGTGAATTCAGTTGCTAGCTGTTTCGAGAGTTGAATAAAAAGATTGTTTTACCTAGACAATTATCTAATCACTTACTTCGTATATTGCAAAGCCTATGGATAAAAAGTCTGCGCCATATTTACGTCTTCTTTCTTCTTGCATAAGTCCTACGATTATAAGTGTTCTTGGTTCATTTTTCACAGAATCAGCTCCAATAGTGAACATATATTGTGGATTTGTGAAGTAAGAATCTTTTAAAATAGAATAGAATACATTTCTTTTTATGAATATTACTTTTGTCTGCAGTTTTTTTTAACTTTAAACACTAAGATATGTACATTTTTATTCATATATGAGAAGAAAATTCATGATGACTTCATGAAAGTGTAGCTGATATATTTACACAGTCAATATTTAGCCATTTAGTCACTAGTGTGAAGCAGTATATGGGTGATAATGTTAGTACTTGCATATTAGGTGCTACTCATTACAAAGTAGATGTACCTGTACATTCTTTTTGGAACCTACAGACATTTGCTTCAATGAAAGGTTTCTTTTATTTTATTGAAATATATCTATAGCCTACAAAAAACTTAATTCTTAGTCTCCCCGATGAATGTCTTCAACTGAATAGTATCACCTTTAGTTCAGTGTAATTTTAGCCTGTTTCATTCAATTAGCTACACTTTATACTTGATATATCACATTCATTAGGACTGAGGGTTTGACAGTATAACATGTTCCGTTTCCAAGTGACTTACACGAAGAAATTCGATAGTATTGTGAAGGAGTAACAGGTATTGGCGTTTATGTCTCATATTTCAGTAGGACTACATGAGAAGACAGGAGTAAAACAAGGTTGCCTACTATCCCTCATGATATTCCTGATTGTGGTCGACTGGATCATGCAGCAAACAGTGGGGAGCGAGAAGAGGGGGATACGCCGGACTGCGGAAAAGAACCTAGAAGATCTGGATTTCGTCGATGACTTGTGTTTGATGTCACACAAACTTGAAGATCTACGGGCGAGAACTAACAAGTTGGCAGAAGAGGTAGCGAAGATGGGACTTCAAGTGAATATAGAGAAGACAGAAGTGATGAAGATACCGCACCAACAACTCCAACAACAACAACGACAACAGGCTACAACCACCATCACCATGAACGGGAGAAACTTAAAGGAAGTAGCCTCTTACACCTACCCAGCCAAGGCAGCGTCGTTTCAACTACAGGTGGCGGCACAGACGACGATGTCAAAGCCAAAATCGGGAAAGCAAGACAAGTCTTCCTGCACTAACTTGAAACCAGTGTGGAGATCTTCTGCACTCCACTCAGCATAAAGCATGAACAACATCCGGATTCTCAACACCAATTCAGTCAAGTCAGTGCTTCTGTATGATTCAGAGACTTGGTGTGTCACGAAAGACATTTCCAACAAACTACAGACATTCATCAACAACTGCCTACGCTGGCTCGTTACTGAAGCTCAGATGGATTGCCAGAAAGAATAAGCAACAAGGAACTCAGTGTGTCTGGTAACGAACCAACCAAGAACCTATCGCTCAACAGATATGCAGAAGGAAGTGGAGATGGATTGGGCATCCACTGAGAAAGCCGAGTGGGGACATCACGCGTCAGGCCAGTCGCTGGAGTGGAATCCCTATGGGAAGCGACGAGTCGGACGTCCGAGGGTGACATGGACGAGATCATGCGAGGAGGAAATGAGAGCTTGTGGGCTGTCGTGGAGCAAGGTTCAAAAGATTTTAGAGAACAGAGTGAAATGGAGACGTGCTACTGAAGCCCTATGTTCCACTACGAACCCAAGGGACTAATAATAATAATACATGAGAAGATAAAAAAAATCCCGGAATGTGCAACATTTTAGCTACCGTTATACAATTTTTTCGCCAAAGAGGACTTCACATTCATCTCCTTCTGGTCATAGTGGATAACTATAGATAATCTGAAATATTATTTTTCTTTATAAGCGTTTCTTCTAACCAAAGAGTGATTTTACAAAGTGGATCTGTTAACATGTTTATTAGTTTATTTTTGACCTTTTGGTTATTATCACGTATCTCTTATCGTTAGGCCATGATTACCTCCAAGTTGACAATACGTTACTCTCCTCTTCTCTGAGTAGAGTGGTCTTTTTGAGATGTGTACACTTTGTCGTACATTGTGTTTGTAATTCTCATATAACTATCCAGTAAATGCTACTGTTTCACTGTGTGATATTTCTAATAAACAGACTGAAACGGAATTACAACCGACCACAGAGCCCAAGTTTTACTCTTATATTAATGAGAGTAGATAGTTTTATGTCTTCCGTCAACTTTAGGTTGAGGGGGAGAGGAGGGGAATATTATTAACCGTTTGTGAAAATGTTAGATTGTGAAGCGTCAGTATTAAATATTTGTTCAGTCAAATGAGTTGGTGAGATAACGCTGTAAGTTAAACAAGTATTACAGAACAGTCAGTTGTATTAATTACGATTTCAGAGAGTGTTGATAGGTAGAATTTATCACTGAAGAAGTAAAGCTGCGATCCCCTCTATCAGATACTCGAATCTGAAGTATGGAACACAAGAGTTAAAGATCAACCAGCCTATTAAGTTTTTAAGCAGTGGAGAATTATTTCAGATGATTACATGACAGGCATGATTTATTTACAGTGATTCTTTCACTTTAATATGGTCTATGGATTGCATTGTACTGCACTGCATTCTTACCCGAGGTGAATACAAGTAACAACCAATCAGGTGTGAGTGACCTTATCCTGATCACCTTTTGTTCTCATTCACTGACATTGGGACTAGGCCTATACACTTTCCGTCTACTCTCTGAAATGCATTATTAGTCACTGTGGGTTAGTACACTAAATTTGTTTCCTCCCTCAGTCAGGTGGTGTGACATTCATGGATCAAATGCGAGCAATAGGGATCCAGTGTCAAAAATAACAACAAATGGACTTCATTGAATTTAAGATCAGTAACGGTGACCACATTATCTGACAAAGAATATAACAGGTTAGAAAACATAGGATCAGAAATAGTTACAAATTTCGAAGTCAGCTGCTCGTAGCATTATCCATAGGCAAATGAATACGCTATCATATTTATCTACAACGTTTATAAATTAGCTAACTCAAAGTGACCGAACAATTTACCTGGATAATTTATTGATCCACCAGCATTAAAATTTGTCTGCCATTCACCAGAAAAGAAAATCTCTTCCAAGCGTTTACTTCCTCGAATTTCATCATCATAATCTAAGCTTGATAATCCAAGATGACAGACTTCAAGTAGACTAAAATACTTTTCAAAATCTTCAAAAGACATCCTAAAGTATTCAGGGGATAAGCAAAAGTTTAAACAGTACATTTTAACACTGGAAATTTATCAGTAGTTTATTTGATCTTACCCACCTAGATATCATAGTATCAAACAGAGCTTACTAGTTACTGGGAATACTTTAGAGGATTGACCCTCAGTGTTGAAAGTAACAATCAATCTCCAAACTTACTTCGACTTAGAATATCTACCCTTAGAAAAAGATCCAGTGGTAGAATAAGCAATGCAATCATTGAAGATACTTTGGATCTTAAGTGAGATCCGGAGAGAAATATTCGATTATGCTCTGCTGAGTAGTTCAGGAAGCTGTACACGACTTGTATTGGTAGAAGAACTTACCAAAAATGCGGTAGAAACTGATCGCAAATCATACACATCTAGCCATTATTCAGATTTACAGTCAACATTAACCATCATTCTAGTATCGTTCACCAATAGGTAATGTATAAATGGCATGTCAGTGAGTCGTTAGAAAAAAGTTCGGATCCGACTATCTTATCTTGCAAATGTCTGCATAAAAGCGAATTCTTTATCGCTTATTAACCCTTCATTCTAACGCATTCAATCAACACAACTGTTTTCTTTTACCCTATTCTAAGATTCTTACTCTATTAAACGCCTTGACAGCTACGGTATTGCTTCTGAAGGTTCTACAGCTATCAATTCAGGATCTAGACGATATTTATTATTGTATTTTGCAACAAAACAGCACCAACTTGGAATTTTTTTACTGCAAAATAATTTACAAACTTTTCTACATTTTTGAGATAAATGGAGATTTTTAATTTAGAAGTAGTATTCATCACAGACTGACACCAGTCTGACCCAGTGGCTGAATGGTTAACGCGTTTGCCGTGAAACCTGAAGGTTCTGAGTTCTATCCGTAGCCGGGTCATGGGTGCGTACTGCTGAGGAGTCCCATACTAGGACGAAACAGCTGTCCAGTGCTCCCATATTTTCAATGGTTTCCCAACTGATATCAGTCCATGATGGATTTTCTACATCTATATGGAACAACAGTTCATTGGATTTAGGAGATACTTCACGCTAGGTGGTTCAAAACTTGAAGTTATAGAATCAGAAGGCATAATCACAGAAAGCTTATCCTCAAAATAAAGTAGATAACTCCAACTTTGTATCCAAACATATATGGAATATCCAGTTCGGACAAATATTAGAAACTGACTGATTTTTTAAATCGTTTCATCTCAGATCAACATGAGTTGGAAAAAATATTGGTTGCATTTTAACAGCTTGTTTAGTCCCATTACAAAGCACTTTATGGATCAACTATTTTCATCAATTTTACGCTACTTTCTGAGTTGTATACGTTCGACGAACCATAACATAATCCATTTTGTTATCACTCATACTTCAAGTCTTATCAAAAGTACATTTATCGTTATCATTACTATGTATTGACATACTTGTTATTCTCCGTTGTTTTATTGGATCGAATTGTTCGAATTCTGCTAGCCACAACCAACCAATTTATCGTTATCATTATTATTATTAATCATTTATCAGATATTGTCTGATCTTCAAATATTCATCCTTCGAGACTAGTAATCTATTCTTTCTCACCCTTGATATCACACAACACATTGTACTTTTATTGACGAACTAAAAGATTTCCCCACCCTATTTTTGTTCCACCTTACTCGCACAACGGAAAAACCTCTCTGACCGAGCTGCTCATTCACTCATCTGTATTACATTGATCTTTGCTTTATACCACTATGTAATTGGATGATTGTAAAGGTCACCACTTTCTGTAACAAAACATGAATATTGACCTGAAAACTTAATGTCAGATTCATACTCTTGAAAAGGATCTTCCCAGCAAGATGGAAACGTTGAGGAATAATACAAAATATTTGTTTATTTTGTTATTTGTTCTAATATACTACGCTGGAATTACACCTTATACAATGAGACATTTATAATATAATTTCATAATTCCCATTGTAACATCAAGAACAAGATATTCAGCGAAGAGACTCTTTTCAACAAATTTATTTTCAAGCTGTACAATCGTATATAAATATGATATTTGAAAAAATTATATCCCGTGAGGAAAACTGAACACTATATGGTGATGACAATAATAATAGAGCGGATGATGACATAGGCATTTAGATGTGTCTTATTGGGCTCACCTTCGGGTTTAGTAAACTTAGTGGGATCAGAGAGGATTACAGAAAGTTTATTAATATACTCCTGACGATTCATTAGGGCAATGCCTCCTCCCTTATCAGGACGGCTTATGATAATATCCCTGTTATCTTTGATTAGTTTTAGCTGTTGTATATAGTCCTTAGTTAATAAAGAGCTAGAATTGATTTTGAAGTTGGTAAATTGGTGACAGCAATCCAGAACAGTGGACTTGAAATGCTGAAATTCTTGCAGCGATGCAGGCATAAGACCGACTATCTGGCTGATTAAATTTTCAAATTGTACTTGGGTATGTAATCTATTTAACCTTGGATGCACTGCTGCAAAACTTTGAGCCCAGCGATAGGGCTTGCATTTGAATTATCGAAAGATTAATGTGAGAGTGGTTGAATACACATACATATATCATGGCCATAACATTTTCCCACCCGATTAGCTCCCCCTCCCACTTTGTTAATTTAACCTTTGTATCCTTCCTTTATCACTATTATTGTTATTATAATCGCCTTCACTTTAATTAGTTTCCGGTGTTATTTCACTTAATTGTCTTAATCCTTTTAGAAAACATTGACTTCATCTTGTCCAACTTGTCTAATGCCATTACATAATACTTAATTGATTTGCCATTTTCAACAATTTTTTTCCACCCCCTTCTGAGTTATATACTCTCTATGTACCATTACATAACCATTCTGTTATCATTCGCACTTCAGTTGTTATTATAATCATAAATGCCTATGTCATCATCCGCTCTATTATTATTGTCATCACTATATAGTGTTTAGTTTTCCTCACGGGATATAATTTTTTCAAATATCATATTTAAATACGATTGTACAGCTTGAAAATAAATTTGTTGAAAAGAGTCTCTTCGCTGAATATCTTGTTCTTCATTTATAATATTACCAAAATTCTCCATCTGGTTTAGACTTGAATTGTAACGTCTTCTTGTCTTTAGGCTTAACATGTTTCCAATCATCTGATTTATCAGACCACGCTCCTGTCCACTCTTGTTTCTCACCCCAGGGGTTACGGCAACGCACCAAATACTGTTCTTTACCGTGGTACTGAACCTGAAGTGAGGTAAAAACCATGAAAACACACAGTATTGTATCAGTAATATAAATATGCACATGCATAAAAAGTGTGTCAAAGTTCAGGATATTAAGTTTTATCTTGAGTGAAAATGTAGAAGTCGACTGTTGTACAGAAAAATACTTATAATCAAATAATTCTGTGGTTTTATTCACGTTACCAGTGCTAGCCAAAATTAACAAACAGCGTGTTAACCATGTATTTTACGACTCGTCATCACTTGTCGCATAAATTCTGTTTTACGAAATCAATCGCCATCAGGTTAAGATTAAATCCAAAATGAATGTAAAATTTTTAGTGACAATGTTGTGTAATATTTCAGGGAGCCTGTTTCAAAATGTATTGAGTGAAATTGTTGTCATAATAATTGTAATTTCCGGTTGTTATGCAGGGTTAAAGTGCTCGACCTCTGTTGGTACATGGGCTGCTATACGGATGCCTTAATACTGCTGCTGATTTATGATGTAACGTTGATCTCGGTGACTAGCAAGGAACTCTTGGATTGGCATTTTCTTATATTTGGTACTCGTCTTGGGGTGTTGCTACATCCGGTTGACAAGTCCCGAGTAGGATGGAAAGCGCGTCATGGTAGTCGCAGAGATTAATATGTATTAAGTGTAATTTATAACTGTAAATGAGGTTCGCAGGGAAATCTAAATGTCAAAGTTATTGATCGAAAGTTTGCACATAATGACAAGTTCTTGTTTCGGTAATAATTCGAACAAAATTACTGCCCGTGATCACAGCAACAATAGGAATATTTTCTCAATAATTTACTGAAATGAAGGCTTACCATTGTTTTTAAACTTTTCATTTGAAATGTACTTATAACATATTATTCCATATTAGCAATAGCCTTATGCTCTCCAATTCAGCCCCCGTCAACTTCCGCGCCCAAGAAGTATTGTCATAAAGCAGAGAATTGCAGCGATGGTTGTTAGTAAGCAGCCACCGAGTTACTGTCCAGAAACCTTCTAAGAACTTCGCGAGCACGGACGCTCGACAAGAACAAACGGAACTGACCTATTTGTCACCACACCGCCTATTGACCAGCATTCGCTAGCCTTGAAGCAAACAAAATTGGCGTAGGCTCTTCTGTCATCTTGCAAGTGTGAGTCTTGCACAACGTAGTATGTGTACGTCTGTTTCTCATACTCTTTAAGGGCTACCTTCAAAGGCTCTAAGGACGGAAACGCGGCGGGACAAAACGCTGTATAAAGACTGATTCTTTTTCGGTCCCAGCACTTCGGACGGTATCGCCGCTCATCACGAAAATGAAGCAACCCGTCCTCAGTTTGCTCCCTTTTATAGTACTTTTCAATTGCATGCAACCAAAAACATCGGATATTTCCTTGTCCATTTTTAATTGGACAACAAGTGACACAGGGAGTAGGGGGAAGAGGTAGGAAATAACAGTTAAAAAAAATTGTTACCGTGGTGCAAATGTATTACTAATGACAGTGTAAGTACATATGAACACTGGGCTAATGCATTACTCAGGCAATATAAGATGCATAGAAAAGTCAGAAAATGTTAAGTGAATTTAGTAATCTCTCCACACCGAAACGTTGGGTATCTAATCTACGGAATATCAAATAATAATATCGGTTGGTTATCACCTTATACTTCCCTGAGACGTGAAAATTAGAAGACAAAGAATGACCTGTGACTATAAAGTAGACCCTTTATTCGATAAAAATACATCACATATATAGTTTTCTTTCAAATATAAAGTCACTAGGCCCGAAGTTGGATACTTATTTTGATTGTTCAGCTGTATGACGTAATTGCCCAATAAAGTTTCTCCATATCATACAGTGACTTGAAGCAAAAGTTGAAATCTGAAATTAGTAGCCGATAACTTAAAATGTTTGTTTTCACTTACGTAACTTCCTTTCACTTTTTCTTGATAATTCACTTCAATTTTGATAACATAGAGTTTTGGGCAAGTAATTCTGATGACAACTAGGCCAGAACTCTTGGTCAATGAAATGAATCTAAGGCATGAATGGTAATTTGGTTTGATTTTCAGCTAGATTGGTTGAATATTGAACTGATGCCATGAAAGGTCAGTCCCTAATTTTCTCTTTGATCATCACTCAGTTATCCGGGAGCGGTTAAACTCCTATTCAGTGGCGTTCCATACTTTCAAATATCTTCATGTGATGAATGATATGTGACTGTGGATGATGGATATTTTAGTCAGAAGATTTTCTCTTTTGAATATCACTACTTTCGTTCTGAATTTATAGTCACAAATAAACCTGAAATTAGTTCCAGGCATCACGTCTGAATAAGAATAAATTATGTTTGTAGATCCAAGACAAAATGAACTGGACGGGTAAGTAAACTTTCTAAACCAGTTTTCAACCTTATTAAGAGCCAGTAAGAGCGAAGAGCAGTTTTGGCATAAAAATAAAACTGATAATGATGAGATTCCTAAATACAACAATAAGCTATCCATTTACAACTTATCTGTTTTTCTACATGCCATTCCACTAAGTTCTTGCGCTTTATTTTTTGCATTCAGTATTGCATGTCCCTTCCGCTTGGTTTGCCAACAATCGATCATTATCTTTTTTGACGTTTCTGTCTAAATATGTATACATACTACTTGCATGCTGTCTTATAAGTAGCTCATACTACGACAGAAATGATGAATATAGAGACGATATCTATAGCTTGGTGTTATCAAATTAGTAAAGGTTACATACGTATCTTGACATCCTTTTGACTGTCCCACATGTAGTAGTTGACGTGTTTTCTAGGAAAATCTGAAATCATTATTCATGTGCAGCTGAAAGTGATCGTCTATCCAAATAGGACTCAAGAAAATTGGATGAATAAAAAGAAAATTGCGATGTGATTGCAAGTTGGAACATGTAGTTCCTACAGTTGAGTTTTTACTTTTTAGACAAGACTGTAAATTATGCATCACATAGGACTCTCCCTCTACTAAGTGACAATAAATTCTATAATATTTGACAATGCCAACTCACTCTTTAATGACTACATTTCGAAGAAAATCAATCCATAATCTGAGTAGATAAAAATGGCTTTGTTAACCTGAAGGCTTCACTAACCAGCTACTTGTGACTGACAACAATAGGCAGCAGTTCCACTCATTTGCACATCTATGTTATTTCACTAACTCGGTGTAATGTTATCAGTAAGAATGCTTTCAATAGTCAGTACACAATGGTTTGGAAGTCAATCGCCAGAAATGCTAGTGAAATTGTTGTCATCTTTAGACTCTGGATTGTCGATATTTGAGAGTCTCAGGACCAACCAGTTTTATGGTCATTGATGTGTGACCTTGGAAAATGTTGGCTTATACCAGTAAGGGTGGAAAATTATTATGTCATTTCAGCGTCCAAAAACAACATTATTATCACTTAACTACCTGCCGTTTGGCAGCAGTCCAAATTTTAATCTCACTTTCAATCATCACCCAGCATAGATTTTACTATTAGTCCTATTAGAATTTAGTGTTATTGCTTGTATTATACTGTCGTTGATTGGACCGAATTGATCGGTCTCTATTGGCATATGGGCTCCTGTGCGGATGCCTCGATATACCTGTGTTCTAGTTATGGTACAGGTGGATAGTGGCTAGCAGTGGAATCCAGAATGCACATTTCGTCCTATTTGTGACTCGTCAGCTGGATATACCTGCCTTCCAGTGAGTGTTGTCCCCATCGGGATTCGGAGTCGGAAGTGATCACTTCAAACACCAGGTCACGATAGCCACTTCATGTGCGACGGGTAATAGTTTTAGTATTATTGCTGGTATTATACCGTTCTTGATTGGACCGAATTGATCGGTCTCTAGTTGACCCCATAAGTCACAACTTCTTATTAGAACTTCAAGAAATTAAAAATGTTTGTTACAAAGTGTGATATATAAACAGGATGTTTTGATTTCTAATTCTTAACAAATTATCTGTGTTAACAGAAGACTTGTCATTCAATTTATGGTGAAGTGATTAATTCCAAAGTCATTTAACAACTGTTGATTGTATGATTTTAAGGTTGATTTTTAAAGCTGATAAATAACCTCTAACACAACTGCTAGAAATTAAATTAATAATCCAAATGTACTGTATTATAACAATGGAAACACAAAGACAAATGGCTTCATAAGCTCCTTTGAAGGCAGTTGAGTACTTTGAAGATACGTTTTTGATTCGTGAAGCAGACTGAAAGCAATAAACTTTCTGTTTTACAGGTGCAAAGGTGTGCACCTTTATTTCTGTTTAATTGACTAAGTAGGATGTTTTGGCCATCAGAACCTGTCTGTATGTAAGCTTGCAAATTTCATGTTACTCCTCAGGGTATTTTTTTTATCTGAGTCAAATCAACACTGTTTCAATATTGATTCTTAATGTGGTTATCACATTAATTTCGGTGCAGAAAAGTTTTATCAGTATTTTGTAATAATTTGTCAGTGAGAAATAGGCATGTGTCAATTTCTCTTTGTAACTCATCAACCAGCTATGCTTGAATCAGTATCGTTGTTATCATTGAAACAAGGGCAGAAAACTAAAAGCAAAGAACACCAGAAGGTCATGCAAAAAGCGGCAAATTTTTAATGGACACAATTTATTTTTAACTCCTTTGAAAGTGATTACTTCTTAGCTGTAATTCCTCAAGTATTTGATATTTTTGTTTGGAAGTCCCAGGGGATTGATTGATTTCTATATGGTTTTATCATGAAGTGACACCAATGAAAACAGTAAAGCATTGGAAAGCTATTCCGTCCCTTTATGAGACTCTTTAGCAGTGCGAAGCCATGACATCACCAAGGGAAAATGCAGTAAAGTGGGATAGTTTCCATTCATAAACTATACTCTTACACTCAGTGTCGATACAGTCCATCCGCTATATATTTTAGAATAATAAGGTGTAGATTAAAAATCATTCTAGAATCCTATTTCAACAAACTTCAGTAGTTACGATAGTATGTGGTGTGCAGAAAATCAGTTTTAAGGTTATTTGTTGACAAAGATGACTTACTTTTCCAAATCCAGTTACACTATAGGCATGAGAGTTAATTAATCCTAATTGTTCCCTTTTCTTGATGCGTTCACTCTTGAAAAGAAAGAAAACAAAATAACGACAAAAAATAATTAATCAGCACTTATATATCATTCATGTACAAGGAAAAAACCACCATTATTTGGATGATAGAATGCATATCAATTAGCAAAATTAAATGGCTTACATTTTGAATAGTTGGTTCCGCTCAGGAATTTGAGTTTGAAAGTCACATTAGTAGTACTCGTGTAACTTGTCTGCGCCTACAGACTCTCTGAGACAGTCTTGCCAACTTTGATATACTATCTTCAAGTCTAAGTCAGACGACTTCCCTATTAGATTTATTTATTTGATTTATAACACACAGTGATATAGGATTAGTTACTTGATGACGATTCGAGCATAAATTATTACTCATAATCATATCAGTGTACTTAAACAACTTTCGACATCTGATTTTTGCAGTTCTGTCACCTCATATGATTTGTTTTTATTGGTAGTAAAATTTTCCATATCTGTGATATGGGTGTTGCATCATTTCGATTACATGTGTTGTGTTGATTCGATGAGCAAAGATTCAGTGATCAATCTCTCTCTCCACCTAATTATTATCGGACTGACTTAAGTATAGTGGTTTTATTCCACCCTATTGTGTGATCGTGTGTTAATGCGTGCATTGCAACAGCCAAATGTTTTCTGGATTGTTGATCTTATTCAGGTCTGTCATTCTATATTAAGCTAAATTCCTATAATCCACTATTCTAAGTGATCGCGACCGGTTGGTTTGACCTATGTACTTGACATCACAATGATTACATGGAATTTGATAGATTAGATTATTTTACTTGGTTGGTTCTATCGGATCCTTAAGCCAACATTTATTGAGAAATTCGTACGAACACAAAGGAAACGAAAAAATAACAGTCACATGAGTACGAAAGTAACAACAACATAAGTACAAAGGAGTTCACAGCCTCCACTGTGTTACCCTATAAGGAAGCAACATCAGAAACTTTACGAAAGACCCTCAGCATTGCTGGAATCAGAGTGGTATTTAAACCTGCAAACTCACTCAGAGATAAGTGTTATCAACTGGCTTGGAAACCTGGGAGCACTGGACAGCTGTTTCGTCATAGTATGGCACTCCTTGGCAGTGCTCACCTATGACTTCTCCAGAGACCAATCCTAGGACTTTCAGGTTCCGTACACATCCATTAGGTCATCCTCACGTCCACTCGTTTTGCCACTGAAGTCATGACTTCTCATTGGAAATTAAGGAGACACCCTTAAAGGCAGTCACTAATGAGCACGAGATTCAATGTTTTTCCCGGGGTGGGGGATCTTATTTCGGGGATTTATTGATTTCATGTTGGTACTTCCAGGTTTCCAATGTTCCTCCAACTGATGTCAGTTCATGATTATTACTAACTTGAAATCAATAACTTTCCACAAAAACCCCCAAATCATGTTGAATATGTTAGGAAGCCATTGTTTACTCACTTATTAGGTGATAAGTCCTTAAGCAAATAACTCCAAAAGTATGCATGAAGAAAGTCATCTTTTCTATTATTTCATTTCTTTATAGAGTAAATTACTGATCACATTACTACTGATCAGCAAAAGAACTAGTATGTTAAGGTGCACAACTTAAACCATATCATTTATGGGCTCAATTTACCTAGGATAAGGGATCGGATGAAAACTGGAGCAGAAAAATTTACAGGCTGATGATTAATTCTCTTGGCAGCGATAGAATTAAAGATACTTTACGAATAAACATGTTAGTATATTCGAAAGAATGATAATCAGAGAAATAAAATGCTTAACTCAGGTAGCGTGTTTGGGTTATTGAACACTTCAGCAAAACACAAACATAGGTGAAGGAATAAAAAGCCAACACTCGTGCATGCAATGATTTAGTGGTTCAACACAATCTGTTTTAAAATACTATTGAATCCGAATGTTTTTCTATGCACTTTTTCAGTATGAACTTTGACAGTGGGTGGATATACCATGGTCCTTCTCTGTTCATATCAGCTTATCCTAGACTTGATAATATTCATATTCTATGTACCCTTAGTTAGTAAAGTAATCCAAACACCAACGTATATCCCTCTTCCGTCTCTGGAAGATTCAATGAACCTCTTCTGATATTATTTTTATTTCATTTTGAGAGATTATCTCGAAAAATGTCCCAATGTAAAGGGTGAAATTTATGAGTTTACATTTATAGGTTGTCAAAAGGTCCGTAATTTTTTGTGTAAACAAATGGTAACTGAAAATTTTCTTCTTCGTTCAGCTATACAGAAAGCCGCATACTAACTTGCAGACTGATTTTCAACATGAAAATCCAGACGATGTCATCTCTTATGAATTGATTCGGGCTCAAATCATTGGATAGTAGCTCCACACAACTATTAATAGAATAAAGATATTCGGAATATATGTTAGTTAGTTGAAGGGAATCGGCAGGAATCCCTGCCCGATCTAGGTTTCGTGTCTGTTGGCATTCATCAGAGAGGGGTATCTACAACCTCAACGTAAATGGTGTCCCACCTGAGATTAGAACCCGCGTCACTCAGTGCTGATGCGTACCAACAGGCACAAAACCTAAGTTCAGGGCTTTCTGCCGATTGCCTTGAACCAACTAACATATATTAATGTTCACTGCGATGATGAGCCTACTGCCTTGGTGGCCACTTTGCAAATATGATCGATAGGAATAGGTCTGGACCCAGGACTAGACAACATGAAATCGGTTGCTCTCTCGTGACCAGTCAATATATCCAGGATGCGTTTGGCTTTGATAGTGCATAGCTAGATATTGTCATAGAGTTAAAGCTTCATATACAAATGGAATGGAACAACAGTTTGAAACATGTAAACAGAATTTTCAACTTTCTTAGCGAGGTGATGTCTTTTTCTAAAACTGGATTTGTTGTTTGCGATTATTGCATCGTGATCTGGATACTATGATCAGCTAATGTGACTGTGACATTTCATTTATTCTAGATCAGACAGTGATGACCTAAATTTTGACTGTAAATATCACTTTAGGTTGACTTGGGCATTTAAATAGAATACAATGACTCATTATCATCTAATCAAACAAACAGTAAATGAAGAGTACCACTGTTAAGAGCTATGCATGTTGAATGATGTTGTGAATGAAAAAAGGACTATATGTTAGTCGCTACAACCACTCAAAAAGCTTCTTAGGAAGATTAATATTCAGGAGAACGATGCCTGTTTTTTTCATAAGTGACTCGTTTTACTCAATAAAAGCAATCCCTTTTGATGACTTCCCATTTCAATGGCCGCAGAGAGTGAGAACACTCTATATCGAATGAATTAACGTTCCCTGCTAAAAACCACCCATTCCATTGTTGGTTTGTACGAGTTCATTCATTTCAGAGTGTTTTTCATCCTGACTCGACATCACACCACTTTGAGACTTCGTCATAGTTAGGAATTCACAGATGTTTGTAAGACAGAGCAAAGGACTATCAGTTGTCAAACTAACTGCACTGTCACTTAGCCGATGAGTTGAAATTCAGAGGTTCACTGATTCCTTCTTCTGTCAATTGGCGTTATAGCATGACTATCGTCTAATATCATCCCAGGGTACCTGCCTCACTCTCGACTTGTTTTACCACACACCTTAAACAACACGGCTCAGAACAAGTGATCATTGAGCACTAGACAATAACTTAGCTGTTGGTTTGAAGAGGTTTACTGATCGGAAAGTAATTTTCATTGCAGGCTGAAAACAACTGAGGTTCTAGGTATTGACTTGCAGTTTATACATTCAGTAATAGTTTTTTTCTCATTACTTTATACTGGAAGAATAACTCACGTCCACATCACAACCGATTAGACAACATGTTTCTGAGTACACTTTCATCATCTTCAACAAATCCATTGGACGATATTTTTCATTTAATATCACAGTTTGACATATTCCACCGGTTAAATCTTCCATTGCTTCACTTTGAAATCCCCCATTCAAGTGTTCATATTTACCGCATAATCTTTTAATGGATGGTAAAAAAGCAGTAAGAAATATTTAATAGAATGATGGATGGTAAGTATTTTAAGAAAGTAAGAAAAATACTAGAATATTACTGATTTGTTTTGTACTATGCTATACTACACAGAGATGTGAACCTGGTATTCTGCGACAGTAAAGTATCACCAGGGATTACTAAATTGACTTTACTCGTATTTTTACATACACACTCAAAGTAAGTTGCCTCAGGCATTGAAACTGGTAAACGTACAAAGCTGACAGCATGCAAATGCCAGGACTGACTTACGTAGATGAACTGGTTACATAAAGGTAACTGTCACCAACATTCATGCATTCATATTCAGCCAAATACATTAGAAATAATTGGATGGTTGGCTTTAATGACTACTAGTAATGCAATGACCTTTTGAGATGAAAAACATTTTGTTATTTGACATGCTGTCAGATTATATCGTATGCTTCTTTAGAAGAGAATTTAGCCGCATTGAGTTGCAAAAAATCTGGTGACACTTTTCTAAACCAAGCTGTCATCTGTATTTCGTATGAAGCCAATAAAAAAATGTACTACTAACTGTTATATTTATATATAGGGACTGATACCATTGAATATCTGCAAAAGTTTCGTTTTATTAGTTTATACTACTTACTAGTAAGTAGCATAAAACTGATTGGAAATATTTATTTCCAGAAGAGGTATTTTTAATTAAATTTCAAAGTAACTTCTTTTTGTGACTTACTTGGCATATGCCTTTTCCAATAAAGATGACCAAAATTCTTTTTTATCTGATGAGTGCATAAATACCAATTCATTTGTTCCCTTGTAAACTGGGAGGCGGTCATCAATTACGACATCTATCCACTGACCAAAACGCCAAAACCGATAGACGATTACACCTCTGTAACCTGAACCTTTGAGAACTTGATTTAACGGTATAACTTGGTTTAACAAGGTAGGGTATTTAGTGATAGTTGCAAGTGCTGCATTAAACCAACAATCACCTATTTGATAATTAAATACGTCGGTAAATATTATTTACAGAAATTTCTGTTTAAAATAAGCACAAAGAATTTGAAGGGTAACTTTTCAGCATGAGTATACAACCATCTATTTGGCTGACAACAGTTCAAAGACCTTTGAAACACTATATAAAATATAAATGAGTTAATTAACACTCAGTTTAGCGGGATTCAAACTTTGTTGGGTAGGGAATCACAACAAATACACTGCTTAACTTCTATAGGGATTTCTGAGTTCGACGGTGGTCGTGGTGATCTGATAAAGCTGAATACTTTGCATTGAAGTCAGTCTTTTATTTCAGACCTACTGATTGACAACGGAAAAGGTTAATGATTTAAGATATCTTATTTCTTAAAGTATGAAAAGGTTATGAGAAGAAATCAATATCAGAGGTGATCATGCACTATGAGACAAAAAGAAAACAGGATACTGAAATTAAAATATGAGGTGTTAAGGTTTTGGAGATTCAAAAAATGTATAGAGGTGGATATATATTGAAAAAGTAATCACTTTTGATCTAAGAGAATTCATGGGTTCCCGTAAAATCTCCGTATGGCAGTTATTCGTTTTATCATAACCTAATGCTATGACAAATAACGTAGCAAGTCGGAATATAGAGAGGTTAGGCATATTCTACATGTTTCTTAACCATACATAATGGAGGGTTGATAATTTTATTCACGGATTAACCTACATTATTTGGTAGTATTCGCCTAATTTACTTACTGCTTACTCAAGGACTTAGACACTTTTACAAAGACGACAATGATTGAATGCTACTAACCTCTGTAAGTGCTTCAATGTTTTTGAAAGCTACGTAGTAGGACAGCATATGCTGCTGAACAGTACATCTAAACAATAAAGTACATTCAGAAATCATACTGGCATCAAACAGGCGGTAGATTACTAGAAGTTTATGCAGTTTTTGGATCTATATATAAAATTTCAGTGACTGCTAATCAATGAGATTTGATGCTAATTCGTGTGTAAGCAAACTGTTCAACAATTCCAATCGCTTCATTGCTTTCTTCCAGTCCTCGGGAAACAGTATCTATGGGAAGTGGGTAGTGCATCCTAAATGCCTTCATGTTATCATTCAGTCTTTAGAGGACTCTAAATGCAATTTATCTTGACTTGATGAGTATGAATAGTCTTTATAATGCTGTGATAAAATAATTCCTTGATAAACGACAAAAAAGTATGACCCCAATAAATAAACGCGCTGAATTTCGAAAATAACAGAAAGCGGTAGATGTAGCTACCTAGATGGATAACTCACAGTAAGAGCTAGCAAAAGTAGGAATATTCAAGTAAAAATTTACTTTTATTGAAAGATACACCTATTAAACCTCTAGTTTCGATTTCAGGTCAAAAAGACTGTAATTGGTGAGTGTTGGTAAATACGCTTGTGTTTCAGGAATTTATTGGAGATGGAGTTCTGACAGATACCCTTTCAATTTGATTTCAGTTGAATGTACTGTAATACCAGAAATTGTTGTAAATATATTTGCTCCCAGTTAGACATAGAGAAAACAAACAGTTCGAAGAAAGAAAATATTTGGACTTAACTAGTGTCTTATCAATGGCCAAATTGCTATAGAGCATGTTTTAAATACAAAATAACATATCGATCTACCGTGAAAAGTTATTTATTAACATGTTATCAGTCTCAAGTTAGCAAGTAGGTGATAACTAATCTAGGAAATTACGATAGCAAGTGAAACATAAATATGTACGAAGTAATTTTAGGAAATTGTTAATAGTAATAGTTCAACGTAAGCACTTAAAACAGAACCAGGACAATTTGATTAAAAATAGTTCATGATTATAACCGTAGTAAAAATAAGAGTTTAATGAATTCCTTTTATGCATATAACTCCGCCTTCTAGATTATTATGTCAAGGTCTTCTGCGGCGAAAACGCACAGTCTCCTGATAAATAAGTTTAAGTGAGACGGACCTTTAGGTTCTGCAAGAAGCACGTTATCATTGAGTCACTGGGTCGGAATTCAGTGGTTCATATTTCCTACATCTGTTAGTTTTCTTATTTCAGCCAGTGTTGATTAGATGTTCCATAGTCTCACTTTTCACAGACTCACTTCTTTGTCGTGGTCAAAAGTGATGTTCACGAGGCCATTCTGGAACGACCCTTACGAAAGACAAGTATATATATATATCTCCAAAATAACAGTTGATCTGATTTGGACACACAGATGTGGTTAGATACGGAAGCTGGACTATCAGATTATCAGAAAATATCAAGTGGCTGCTAAGTATGCTATAAAAGTTCGACGTAAAACACTTTGAAACGGTTGGAAATTCCTTTTCTTAGTATTAAAGTGGCCAATTTTCTTTGAAGTCCACAGTTATTCAAAGCATATTATTCAACAAGGCGATGTTTTTCTGCTTGTGGTTAAGGCGTTATTGTTCCATCCATAAACCATGTCAGATATCCGTTTTCAAGCAGGATTTTGACAAGAAGCATCATCTCTCCTTACAAGTAGGCAGGGCATTAGATTCCCTAGAAATGTGATGAGAATAGGGTTTGTTTCTATGCCCCGTATTTTTGTACTTCTCTTTGTCACTCTTCATACGGAAAATTATCTTGGTATATCACGTTACTTCAGATCGAATCTTGTTAACTCTCTTGTTCCTTGCTCAATTACAATTCATTCTCACCTTTTATGGCGTCTAGTAATTTTGTCACACAAGGTTTGGAGTCATTATGACCACCATAAATCTCTTTCTATTTTATTGTGTTCAGCAACAGAAAAAATATCTGTAACTGTAAAAATAAGAATTATGACTGTATAAGTGTGGACACCAAAATCACCAAAAAGTTAACTTTACTGGGATTGAACTCCAGTTTAAAATCCCTCAGTCATGTAACACCTTGCAGCATAGACTTTGGAGCCTTCAGGCATCAAATCATCTCTCAACTACTGTTATGCAATCAAATTTTCCAAAAGTTCGAAAGTATTCAAATATAAAGATATGATGCAGTCATCATTTAGTGTATGGTATATATACAAATACGAACGTCGGGACCTTACCAAGAGCTCCTTGGTCGACATCAAAACGACTCAGGGTGTTTGTGTAAAACTGTGCATCATGATTAATATCCTGAAATATAAAAAGAAGGGAGTATTTTTGTAAGATGACTACATAAATGTGATGTATTAAATGGGGAATAAGAAAGGCCTGAGTTGGAAAAAATAAATTGGTGATATCCCTGTTTTATTTATCATCCAGCTTAGAATTAAGCAAAGATTACGTCATACAGATTCTTTTTGATATTCAAGTTTGAGTTGGAAGTATTTAGGGAAGTTACACATAGATAACTCTGAATTATTAGTTGACTGGTTATTGAACATAGTAACGAAGTAAAAGTCTTGAATAATAGTAAACGTTTGTGTTCACAATTCTCCCCGGATATCATTCTAGCTTGGTGAATGACTGATTATAGGAAAACTTTTGTGCGTTTTTAGAAATAGTATAGTAAATCCATTGATGGATATGAAACATCGAAGGGAGAAAATTCCAACGTATTCTCAACAAGGCGCGTGCTGGCCACCACAACATTTTGCATCTTCTTGGAAGACGAATAATGATACTGGAGTCCTAGATGGTGTAGGCATCATTCTTATGACGAATAAAATGCTGCGCATTCAGAAAAAATACTACAGGGGACGTAGACTTGCCAACATTTTCCAGGTTTTGTGCATTTATATCGAAGCTTTACTTTAAGGATATCGATTTTCATTGACTCTGCCTGTCTCAACAAGACATACACATATGCAGAATATGATGGTGAGATAAAGAAAAAAAAAGAATAAAGATAGCAACAACCGAGGATATTGGGACTAAAATTTAGCTTATAGAGAGGGTTAAAAGAGGAGAAACATCTGACTGTGCTTGTTCTGAATACATAACTAGGCCTTTAGTTACATGAAGAAAGCGTTGGCGAGCTTCACCTAGTATTATTATATCTCATTATTCCCATTTGTTTAAGCTTCCCGTTAAATATTGAATAATATTAGTGGGTGCTGAATCCAATATTCTAATTACTCTGACTTTTTCAAGTGTATAGCGTAGATTTCTAACATGATGTTCAGGAAGTTATCCGGTTAGATACTCTAAATTCTGAAACTGTTGGGGGAAAAGTAATTTGCTAACTTATGGCATCCTTAACAATCTGATAAATATGACTTAAACAACCTAAGAATCAGGTATTTATTCACCATTATTTTTTTATCTACGGTGTTGCGAGCAGTTGTAGCCTGAGTAGCTAAGTGAGTTCGAACGAGCACAACACCAAGTTGCAATAGAACCCCTTGATGATTGCCTGTTTACATTCGGAGTCATAATGTGAACCTTATCGATAGACACAGTTCATTGGAGTACAATGAGAACTAGTCACTTACATTTGTTACCCACTGTAGATCAACACAAGCACAGAAAAATCAGCTATTGAAAACGTGATCATATTCCTTAACAAATAGTTCGTGCAAGAAACACACTTGGAGAAAACTACGGGTTCTACTCAAAAAGACAATGAAAGAATTATCAACAACTAGAAGTAATCAAAATCATTAATTAATCTATGAATTATGCAGACTAGTAAAAAATCGAGTACCGGAGGCGGCATAATGGTTTGATTTAAATCATTGAGTTGATAATTTATTTAGAAATATGCTGTACGGCTATTTCAAAACTGTTCATTCAAAAAGGTAAACTTATTGTAAGTTGGTACGACTGGTTTGCCCATAGCTGTATTCACATTAAAGTATTAAAGCACAAGTGAATATAGTGTTGATAAAAAGTTGTAACCAGAAAGATATGTTCATGTTTTGATCATGTTATTTTCAAAAATCATTTATAGGAAACATAATAAAAGATGTCTTTGACAGTGTACTGACACTAGTTTTATTCATCAGCTCATGGCTTTATATATTTTTGAACCACTAATGTATAATAACGCTGAGTAATTTTGATCGTCTCACTTTCCGTTTTCAGTCATTAATACGGTTTTAGGCATTTAAATTTATATCAATGAAAGAGTAAAATTTATGTAAGCATGAAGCTAATTAGTTGATCTTGGTTGTATTGTGTTCTCTGAGCTGGGTTGTTGTTTGATCGTGAAGCTTTTATCGTCCTGTTAGACGACATCATCAGCACTAACTTCAGTGTGAAGTGGGCTGTCAGTATCTCTCCGTGAGTGATTTAGCGGCTTGCTCTGACGATGTGGTCTGTGACTGGTTGTTTCCTTCGATTGTTGTGTCATTGATTGTATAGACTTTCCTGTTGGCTGTTCCTCTGCTTCACCTCTGACCTTTCTGTCGTTTATCATTTTTCTTACTGGTTGATAGATTGGGTCTACGTCTATGCATCTACTGACTGTTGACTGACCTGAATGCCAAGCTCCTAGGAATTCTCTGACATTCTTTGTGTTTCCTCTCTCCGTCCAAAATTTCCACATTGTCAAAATTAAATTCATGCCCATAGTTGTTACCCACGTGCATTGAAATGAGTGACGAAATGTCGTGGCGTTTAATAGCCAAATGGTGCTCATGTAGACAAAGGCACAGAGGGCGACCACTTTGTCCAATGTGGTGCTGACTACAGCTATTGCAGTTGATTTTGTAAATGATATTAGGTTTGTCTTCTTTGGTTGCTGCATCTTTTGGTCTGCATAATAGTGTTTGGAGAGAATTTTTTGGTTTATGAGCCATAGCAATTCCAAGTAGTCTCAACAATCTTGTCGTGATTTCTGATAAATTCTTTATGTATGGTAGGACGATGCAATTGCTGATTTCTGTCGATAACTTTGCAGTTGATGATGCACGGGATAGGCATCTTCTGATAAAGTTTCGTGGGTAGCTGTTCTTCTTTAGCGTGGACATCAAGTAATTTTCTTAGTTTCTCCTTGAAGTTGTTGTGCTGCAGTGTGTTCTCGCTCTTTTGAATAGAGTCTGCACGCAACTGATTTTGTGTGTCGTTGGGTTGTTGCTATTGTAGTTGAGGATTTGGTCAGTGTGTTGACATCCTGTACACTTGGGTTTCCAGCTTTCTGGCATTTGTCCTACTGACTAGAACATCCAGGAATGATAGTTGGTTGTTTGACTCTTTCTCCATTGTGAATTTGATGTCATTGAAAACGTTGTTGATCAAACTATGAGTGTTTTCTATATCAACCTTTTTAATGATGACAAAAGTGTCTTTCATATAGCGAATCCAAATTTTTGGTTTGATCATAGGTGGAATAATGGCTTCCAGTCTCTATATCACTACTTCTGCAATTAATCCGGATATCGGTGATCCCATTGGTGTGCATGTGTGGATGTTACTCCGTCAGAGGAGTTATTATTATTATAAAGTTATTATTATTATTATTATAAAGTTTTTTAGGTGATAAAAACTGAATAAAGGCATACAACTTTCTTCGAATTTATTAATAAAGATAGACATGAAAACAGGAGGCTAAACTCTACCTTTGGCCTTTTCCATTCTACCTTACCCAAAAGATCAGGTATATTTCCAATGGAGTCATCATTTGCAGGAAAACATGGATCTTCATAAAGTTCCTTTGTTTCTAACATTCGACACATAATTGTCTCATATTCAGTGCCTTTAAAACTTCTCATTCTTGTAGGCTGAAATCGTAAAGAAATTTTGAATAAAGCATTCATTTCACTGTCAAAACACTATTCATATTCAACCTTATAAACTGCAGAAATTGAAACTGGAGTTTGTGCTAAACGTCGGGTAATATAGTCGGTCAGTATGTTAGTTTGAAACAAGTTCCTCAACTTGTCATCTATTGGTCATACTATATTTCATACAACTGGTTCTTTTCACAACAGGTTCTGTAGATTAAGGTGAATCTATTGTATTTTAATGACGTATTATCAAAATGTATAAGGTTAAGCATAATTTACATTCTTTAGTGACTTTTAGAGACTGAATTCATGATCAAAACATTTTGAATACTGTCGACGTTTTATCAATCAGTTGGCTTCTTAATATTCACTAAGACAGGTAAAGCTCATTTACGCGTATACTATCTACAAGTGTTTAGATTGCACACTATAGATAGAACGAGGCAAGAAAAACTTCAAATTACCTTAAACTTAGTGGCCAAATATCTTGTGCAATCACAGCATTCAGCTCATCTTCATACATTCTTCAAAGCAGCCCATAAAGTTCATACAGACGATAATCTAGAACATCAAACTTAAACTTTATCTTAGAAAGAAACGTATACAGTAATTCTCTTCATCTTAGCCTTAACATGGAGTTTCGTACAGTTACCTTTTTATAAGTTTTCGACTACATCGTAACTACATTTTAAACATGTTATTGCTTTAGATCATTCTACATTGTGTATGATATTCTATCTATTAATTATTGAATCGATTTCCGAAGCCTTACTTGCTTTGACTGATATCTGTGAATTCATCTGTGACATTCTGTCACAGTGATTAGTTCATTGAAAATTAACTGTCATTACTAAATTCATTTCTTGCTTTTCTCCGTTGCTGGTGATTATAAACATGTGACTAAGTCGAACCTTTTTGTCTGTTTTAGATTGCTACTTCTCAACAGAAATATAATTGAATGTAGACTATGAAGATTTAATACAATTCATGCTGATAATAACAATAATAGTAAGAAATTACGCTTGGATAAATGTTTCCATTCTCCGAGTAAGATGTATCATTACCGCTAATAATTTCTGAATTTCGATCAGTAAATAACTTTTTGTATACATGGAAAGCAGCAGATCCACTTCTTCTCATAGGATGGAGGATATTAGGTGAAGTCAACTTTCTTTGTAGCTAAAATAAAAATATTAATGGAGAAAGGTATATGTAATTATGATGATAGACATCTAGCCAAGAAATAAAAATTACAAAAATGTTAAAAAAGAACAAATAGTTTTCAGTTCAACCAATCAAATATTAACTAGAAAATGTAGGAATAGGTAATGAATTCTTAAGTGCTCAGGTTCACTGCATGTTGTACTGCTGCTTTAATTATCAGATAATCGAATTAATTCAAAGGTTGTACTAATAAGATAATAGGTAAAATTTGCTCCGGGAGAAAGAGACAAATTACAGTTAAATGCAAAGTAAACGTTGAATCACTTTTAGGCATCAAAGAGAATTATTTCTCATTTATTATTGCACAGCCAAAAGTCAATATTTTCTGAAAGCTTTGAACAAACCTCTGAATATGTATGAAATGCGCTTCTCCATACTGTGTCCTAGTTTCAGGATAAAAAAATACTGGCGGGATGCACCAACCACTTCACTTCTCTACAGAGTTGAATCTCTCTCATAAATTGGCTGCTGAAAAAATCACAGTCCAGATATAAGAAGCCTGAGTGAGTTCCATTCAAGATTTGTTCACTTGATTTATGACAGTGTTACAGTATTAGTTACTTCATGACGCTTCGAACATAATTTGTTGCTCATAATCCCATCAATGTAATAACATTACTTTCAAAATGAATAAAATAAGGAAATCTACAGTCTATCTGATACACCAAACAAAGCCATCTTTAGGTGAGTCTAAATGGTTTAATTTAATACCTAAAATCAATAATCCTAGCATAATTTAGAGCACTACCAAGGTTTATAAACCAGGTTATCCCACTAGACTTTGTTCCTCGAATCTACACCAAACACATGTAATTGAAATGACGCAACACCTATGTCAGAGATATGGAAAATTTTACTACCAATGAAAACAAATTACATGAGGTGACAGGACTGTAAAAGTCAGATGTCGAAAGTAGCGTGATTACAATGATATGATTACGAGCAACAACTTATGCTCGAAAGGTCATAAAGTAACTATTACTATATCACTGTATGTTATAAATCATATATTCAAACCTAATATGGAATTAAATTCTACCACAGTGCCCAAGTTTTACACCTATATCAAAGCCTGCGTGAAGCATACAAACTAACGTCATCCATAACAACGGTTACATTTCATCAAAGGCTGAGTATACTGAGCAGCATTACAGTAAGTTCTATTGAGTGGTAGTGAGACTTCCCTAGGTAGTCTGGATGACATGAGAAGGCTATAGACTTCTGATTGTTCAGATGTTGTAAAGCCACCATATGATTTATGTCCAGATTTAGGGCAGAGCAATGCGTAAAGAAAGTAAGTCCTTCGATGAGATTGTAAGCATTCGTAGCTCAAGTGGATGGTATTGGTTGTATTGTGTTCTCTGACTTCATACTGAAGTTAGTGCTGATAATGTCGTCTAGAAAGACGATGAAAGCCTCACGATTAAACAACTCAGCTCAGAGAACACAATACAACCAAGATTGTAAGCATTCACCAGATGAGTTGGCTTGGACATGCACTGTGCCTTCCGAGCACTAACTAGACTGACATCCTACATTAACTGAGGTAAGTTTGGCTGGGAGAAATTCAAAGATCACCAAACCAAGGTGTCACACCAATAATTGCAATCTCACTATAGATCTGCTTATGTAGGTTGATTTACATTCTTTCTTTCGGCTCTTCAAAATAAAAGGCTAGCGTAACATGTAAACCTATTTACTAGCATTTTTGGAATTATTTGCCATGGGTAATCATCACAAAAAAATTTTTTTCTGAGCTTCTCGATTCTCCTCTGTACCACTGAAATTTGAGTGTATTAACATACAGTAAATGTACCGTAATCTAAAGTAGTCCAACTATTTTACTAGAACACACGCAGTGTTGAGGTATATTAATAAGAGGCTGGAAAATTATTCAATTTCAAAAAACTTATCCAGTTAATATCAACGAAACATTAATTCCCTGGGGCCGATAAATATTTACTAACCACTAGGTCCAGTTCAATATCCAGTCAACGATAAATGTAGTACCCGCTATAGTCTTTGCAAGAACTGGCGTGGAATCATGCTGCTATCCACCCGTAGAAAAAATACTATGCCGCATCATCCTGGAGAGACAAAAAGATGCCCTGGGTTCAAAGTTATGACCGGAACAGGCTTCCTGGGTGGCTGGCTTCAGGAAGAGCAAATCATGTGCGGACCAAATTGCAACGCTACGCTACGCATCATCATCGAACAGAGCATAGAATGGCAGTCAACTATCTATCTCAACTTCATTGACTTTGAAAAGGCATTCGACCGAGGAGTAATTTGGCAACTGCTCCAACACTACGAAATGCTACAAACTTTTATCAACCTTATTCAACTACTGTATGAAGACGCCACATGCCAAGTAATTCACAGTGGGAAGCTCAGTGATGCCTTTGAAGTGGAAGTGAGGACAGACAGAAGTAAGACAAGGCTGTCTACTATCACGCATGATATTTCTGATTGTAGTGGACTGGACTGGATCATGCGGCAAACAGTGAGGAGAGAGAAAAAGGGATACGCTGACTGGACCGGCGAAAAGATCCTAGGAGATTTGGACTTCGCCGACGACTTGTGTATAATGTCGCACAAATTCGAAGATCTACAGGTGAAAACTAACAAGTTGACAGGAGAGGTGAGACAGAGAAGACGGGACCTCCTTGAAGTGAACGTAGAGAAGACAGAGGTGATGATGATAGCCAACCAACGCCACCACCACCAACAACAACAACGACAACAGGCTACAATCACCATCACCATGAACGGGAGAAACTTAAAGAAAGTAGCCTCTTTCACCTACCTAGTCAAGGCAGCGTCGTTTCAACTACAGACAGCACAGACGAGGATGTCAAAGCCAAAATCGGAAAAGCAAGACAGGCCTTCTTGCATTAACTTGAAACCAGTGTGGAGTTCTTCTGCACTCCACTCAGCATAAAGCATGAACAAGATCCGGATTTTCAACACCAATTCAGTCAAGTCAGTGCTTCTGTATGATTCAGAGACTTGGTGTGTCACGAAAGACATTTCCAACAAACTACAGACATTCATCAACAACTGCCTACGCTGGCTCGTTACTGAAGCTCAGATGGATTGCCAGAAAGAATAAGCAACAAGGAACTCAGTGTGTCTGGTAACGAACCAACCAAGAATCTACCATCCAACAAACATATAGAAGGAAGTGGAGATGGATTGGGCATACACTGAGAAGGTCGACTGGGGACATCACGCGTCAGGCCAGTCGCTCGAGTGAAACCCAGATGGGAAACGACGAGTTGGGTGTTCGAGGTGAGGGTGACATGGAGGAGATGGTGTGAGGAAGAAAGGAGAGCTTGTGGGCAGTCTTGGAACCAGGTTGAAAGAGAAGATTGCAGAGAAGAGAGTGGAATGGAGGCGTGCTATTGAATCGCTATGTTCCACTAGGAACTTAAGGGCAATGAATATTAATAGTATTTGTGTCTCATAACGTGGGTGAAATGAAAAATCTGAAGTAAGATTGTTCTTTGTAGGAAATTTTTTTCAGGTTTTACACTCAGTGAATTCACGTGTTTATGTTGAAATGAAGCCATCTTAATACGATTAACATTTTTACACTGGTGTGAGACTTAGGTATTTTATGGAGAGAGGTAATTCTTGAGGGTGTTATTCCTGAGTGCAGAGTTCGGGTTCAGTCAGTTTTGCTAGCATTGTGTTCTCCGTGCTGCATCGTTTAATTTTGAAGCTTTCTTGCCGTTCTAGTCAACCTCATCAGCAATAACTTCAGATGGAAATGATGGAGAAGGTTTTCTCCTAAATTTATTAAGGAGCTTGTCCTATGACCTTTTGTGATTGATTCTTTTCGCCTAGGTTTGTCTTTGTCTCAGCGTTTATTTTGAGTAGTTGTCGTGATGACTTGTAACTTGTCTTTATTGTTGTTTCTAATTGATTGATAGATTGGGTCAATACAAATATGTCTGTTGATTACTGACTGACCTGAATACTAAGTTTCCAAAAGTTCTCCGGCTTTCTTTGTATTTCCTATATCCAGGATTGCCACATTTTCTCAGTGAAATTTATGTCCACAGTTGTTTGCATGTATCAGTATGAGCGAAGACATGTCATGACACTTCACTGCTAGTTGATATTCATGTCGATGGATACGAAGACAGTGACCACTCTGTTCCGTGTAATGTTTCTCGCAGTTTCTGAAGTTTATTTTGTAGATAATGTTCGGTTTGTTTTCCTGTGCTATTGTATCTCTTGGCTTGCATGACACAAACTGAAGAGATTTCATGGACTTGTGAGATACAACAATTCAAAAGGCCTCAATAATATAGTCATGATCACGGAGATGTTCTTCATATACAGTAGGATAATCCGTTTTCTACATTTCAAGATTGACTTCTTAATTGATGATGAACCACGTCATGTGTCATCTATATATCAGATCCAAAGTTTTGGTTTGACCAACGGCAATAAAACAGTTTCCAATCTTTGCATTACTGCTTCTGCAATTGGCCCTGATATACATGATCCCTTTGACTGTTTACCGTTGAATTGAAAATATGTTATAAAGCATAAAGCAATTAATTCTACCTGATGAACATTTCAAATGCGTGTATTTTGAACGGTATGTATCATTACTATTTATTGACATACTTGTTATTCTCCGTTGTTTTGTTGGATCGAATTGTTCGACCTCTATTGACATATGGGCTGCTGTGTGTATCATTGTTGAGCAGAAGAGTCATTGTATACTCAACCGGTTTCGGTTTAGTTGAGGTTTATAGAGCTGTAACGTCAAAAGACACAATCAGTTCGTCATTAGTGATATGAATATCCTTGATCTTTTCAAAAAACACTGTGTTGGGGAGTTGATAGAGTGGTTGCATGATTCAAATAGATGTTTTAATTTTCTAAAGAATTCTTTTGAAAGATTGTATGTTGCGGTTCCTAGAAGTGAAAAAATTGGT